GAATTTCTTTTGGTTGGGTGTTTCTGGTGAAAATAGAAGTGTATGCTAAGAACTCATTTAACAGTTAAAACAAATTTGGGCTAATTATGAAATATAAACTAAACCTAGATCTGACATTTGCAGTTCTCAATGTGTCTTAATACTGTAATGCTTTCATGACACTTAATATTGCCTTAGCATTTCATATATCAGTATTGGATGAGATGTGTACTTGTGTAGAGACCTGTTTTAAGATCTGTAGGTTCACAACTAATTTTTAGAATATATTCTAGAATAATCTGTGGTGGAACAACGGCCAAAGGATTTATATGTTGCAGAAAATTCCTTAAGTTTATATGTAGGTTATACGTTTTTCTGGTTGTTTTCAAATATTCAGTAGCTGCTTCTCTATTTATCTGTGAATTTACATGAATTCTTTATTTTTCATTATGCTTTACTCACCCACTTAGGAGGAAAATAATCTGTTTTGTTTCAATTTGACCATCACTATGAGTATCATGACTAGAATTCTTACTGGACTGTGGTTAAAGTAGCAGTGCCTAGAAAAGTGGGGAGGAAGTCTTGGCATGTTAATTACATTACCTAAATTTAAACTTGAGCTAAGCTGTAATAGCTTTAGAAGCTGATGTATTTGGAAGTGAAATACTATCATGGAAATAAATGGCTGTAGAAACAAGAAAATACTGAGAGGCAATTGATTTTTTTTTTTTTTATTTTGATGTGCTTTGGCTCTGATTTATTTCTTTATAGTGAAATTGGGCTGCGTTATCTCAGCCTTGTTAAACCAAGGCTTAAAACTCCTGAAGGTTACCATCATGTGTGAAAATGGGGCATGGCAAACACCATTCTTACAGAAGTGAGTTAACATCTTAGGGATATGACATGAAATGAGGTGAAGTAGTTAGGGTTTATTGGGAGAAGCAGTGTCCAGTTTATGCACCTTGAAGAAAGGTCTGCTTCAGTCCTCTTAAGCTTATGACTTAAGTTCAGTTACACATAACCAACTTTACTGGTATGTACAACCTTTTACTGTGGTATCGTGTAGAAACAGTGTCAACAGCACAGTTTCTTATAATAGAGTTATATTGTGAGTCCTAGTTTGATAGGTGAGGTGCAAACACTATTTTACAAAGTATGGCTGGAGTCTGAATTTTTCTTCATCTTTGAGCTAATTAAGTCGAGATTTTTTTTCTTAATGGAGGTTACTGCTTCAAAGCAGTGAGGATAACTTGAGTAGTGCAGTGTCCCAGTGTTCATTTGCATTCAGTTCTGTAACTGTCAACATCAGAACAGCAAACCAATGGCCGTAAGTATTTTCTCAACTGCTGTCTCATTTTTTTCGTATCTTAAAAACTTTTTGGAATCTGTCAAAAGATGTAAAATCATATCTGATGCTCAAGGTCACTTATAAGGAGTTTGAGTTGAGGGTTATTTTCATGGAATTTTGATTTTTCTCTGAAACTTACTATCATCAGTCATGCCTTAGTATTTACTGGGACAGTACTGTGCCATTGCAAAATTTTCCTAGCTCTCAAGGAAAAGATAACCCTACGCTCTTGAAGAATTTCAGAATTAGCAAAGATTGAGCCCTAAACACAGTTGTTTAAGGTAGATGTTAAACACTGAAACTACCTTAAGAAAAGATCTTTCATAAAGCTGCAAGTATATTTTCTACACAGTGACTACATAGGAATGTGGTGGAAGTGTTTGTTGTTAAGTTCAGTGATGATACAAACCCTGTGTGAGAAGTTCCCACAAAGTTTTCATGCTTTGCTTGCCAGACTCCATGGTCTCAACAGACATAATATTATGCATCCTGCTTTCTTGCTTCAGGGTCCTTATGTGCTGCAGCCCATATGTACTGTAATGACAAAACTTTTTATAGATTGAGTGACTGAAAATCAAAAAGAACTAATCTGCAACATTTTACCTCGTCTATTACAGCTAGTGATAATTTCAGAATGGAGTGATATGGCTCTTGAGTTTTTTGTTATCTTTGATCATGGGGAATGAATGTAAACAAAGTAAGCAGTGAGTGTCAGAGTGGAAGTGGAGAAACAGTTTTGAAAGATCCATTGAAAAGATAAATACTTAGGGGAAAAAACCCTCAGTTTTACTTGGACAAATATATGTAAAAATACTTGGACAAATTTTCATTGCTTGCAGTAAGTGCTTTGATATGTTTTGTAACCTTGGAAGAGCAGTTGGTTATCAACTGTAACTAGCTGCCTCATTTTTTAGCGTTGTATTGAAGTTTATCAAAAAGAAATATAAAGGCTTTCAAACTGTATATTTAAATGTTGATACCTTCACACATATATAAAATGCTGAATAGAAAGGAAAACCAAATTTTTAAAAAATGTTTGAGTAGTGTGCCTGAATTAGCGTATATATGGAGCTGCTGAAGCGGTATATATATGCTGTTTGATTCTCAACTGTGTTCCTCTTTATTCAGGTTTTAGTGATTTCACTCTCAAACACGGCCATTATTCAAGTTGCTCTACTTGAAAGTATTGTTCCCATAGACAGGGAATTAGTTTACCTTGAAAGCTGATGCATTTCTTTTTTTAAAGCCTCAGTAACTATTTCTACAGCAGGAGGATCTTTTTTTATAAATTCATAGAAAATGAAAAGTATTCTAGAACTTGAAATGTTTTTATATGCAACACTTTCACTATTTATTCTATAATTCCACAATATTTGATTTGTATTTATGCTTTGCTGATAAAACTCACATCTTTCTTGCCAAGTCCTAAGGAATGCCTGGATGCTACTTTCTTCTGAGAGCCAAATACATGTGTTGCTAAGCTTATTTGATTGCCTTATGCAAGTTTCAGAGGGGGGAAAAAAAAAAACACTTCAGAATCTTGGTCCCGTTGTGCAAAGCTTTAGTAAGAGTGTCATACTTAGAAAATTTACAATTAAATTTTTTACAGGTGTTCAGATGCTCAAATTTTATTTTTTCCATTAAAATAATTTCTTTGGATCCTTGTGTGGTAGTGAAGCAGCATTTTCTGTGTAGATGGAAACTTAATATTCAAGAAGTGTGTTCTAAGGCTCTTACTGAGAAGTGCAGATCTAATTACTTCTTATGTCATGTATTGTTATATTCAAAGTACTTCTTACTCTGATAAACAATTTGTCTCTGACAATTTTCTGTTCTGAATGGCCTTCAGTATGAAAGATGGGTTATTTAGAGATGCCTACCTGCTTGCTTCCCCAAAACCGCTTTCTCTCTGTGTATGTAGATCTAAGGGAGCTCAAAAATGAAACATTTAGGTTATTTTTGAGCTTCCTTGAAAATATGATGTAAGTGCAACTTCATATATAGGGACATAAATGTAAAGATTTTTTTGTGCTGATCTGTTCTGCAGTTTTAGATCTGCTGGGTGTTGATAATGCAGTAGGTGTGACCTTGAAACATATGGTGAAGGTTATGTGCTGTGGAGTATGGTGATGGACTGGCTGATGAATGGGTCCCACACACCTCATGAGTTGAAAAGTGGGATTAGGAGATAGGCATGTGCCCTCTGCAGTGAGAGTTCGTGCTGAAAGTGCCAGCTGCAGCAAGTATAATTTGTGTAGCTGATTTCTACTGCTCCGTGTAATGCAGCTGTTGGTAGAGATCAGTCCAGGTACTGAATAGCAGAGGCATGTACTGGCAGCTGTTATTGCTGGTCTGCCTGCAAAGGGGGGAAAATACCTAACCTATTTTTTTCTTGAAAAAATAACAAAAAAATGTGGCAAGTTATGTTAATTTTATGTTTATATGTATATCCAGAATTGAGCAATGTACATAAAAAGGGAAGGTTTTTCTGTTCTAACTTGCTTTATCTTCCCTGTTTTTCCTTCTTTTTCTTGTTCATGTTCTTGCTTTTAGATATTTATGCTAGATCAAAGTGAGAAAAGGTGGGGGATCAAATATTGATGACTACCTTTTTTCTTTTTTTTTTTTTTATTTAAAACAAACTCTTGTGTTATAGTATGAGTTTAATACTGGAAATTTGTATTGTAATAAACAATATAATACTTTCTCCATGTTTTTCAAGAGCCTGTCGTATTTTATAACTAATCTGATGTTTGCAGAATTAAGTTGGAAACTTATGAGTACTGTACTATACCAGTATATATACACCTGTAGCATAGATGTTGCTACTTAAATCCTGGAAGTCTGTGTTTTTATATAACCTGGTAGCCTACCACTCAACAGTGTGAATCGGTGGTACTGCTGAGATCCTGAAATTACTATTTTTAACTGCCTTCTTTGCAATATTACTGGAGACTAGTGGTCTGTATGACTACAGTAGTCTTGAAGCTTGAAACCTCTCCCATATGTTACCAAGATTTTGCTTGTCTGCATCTTTTGATCTAGTAGTTGATTTCACCCTTTTGGAATACCCCTGCAAACAGAATAGGTGAAGCACCTTAGAACTATTCCACATCGTGTACTAAGATATGTATTCTGGACTTGAAACCAAGCAGCTATAAAACCATAAGCCTTGTAAGAACTTTGTATTTCCAACAATTTATGTTATGTGGTGCATGCATTTTTAAAGAATCTGGGTAGATTAACTTAAATTCATGGCAACAGGGAAAAGTGGGGAGCTCTTAGAATCAGTTAACATTTGTCTGCTAGGTCAAAATTGTAGTGATGGATCATGAGAGAGTTAGCAGATTTTTAGTTTTCTGGAGCTCTTAAATTTTTTTTTTTGACTAGCACTGAATGTATTTTGATGACAATGGTTTCTCTTAAAAAATAATTAATACTTAATTTTAAATTTTTTATTTTTTTAAAGATGTATTCAGTTTAGTAAAAATGATGAAATTTTTGGCTTTCCATTTCCATTTTATCTTGCAGAATAACACATTTGTTTGTAACTTACATAACAAACCCAAGATTTATTTCCAGATGTATAACTTAAAATAAAGAAATTCAATATTGATCTTGGCGGTAGGAAATATGGGCAACTATAGTAACTACATTTTGTTTTCTTTACAGAAACCATAGCCCATTAATGAGTTTTGGAGCCAGTTTTGTCAGTTTTTTGGTGAGTAGATGAGAGCAGAGAGTATACATCTCTTCTCTTGTCGTTAATATTTGTATGTGCATGCGTCTGTTCATAATGGTGCGTACTCTCAATTTGTTTCTTTTTATGAGACTTAATTTTTTCAAAGTTGTAGATTAAATGTAGCTAGAAAACAAGTCATTATGTTATATAAAACTTGTTTACTCATGTGGTTTAAATAGAAAGTAAAGGTTCTGTGATTCAGCTTCATAAATTCATGAAATATTTATGTGTTCCATTAAAAGAGCCATAATAAAACCCTCTCTTAAATGAGCAGTAGGGTATTAATAAAATAATGCTCATAAATGCCATTTTCCTGTCAGCTTTTGCTGTTGAAAATTTCTCCATCCATACTGCCAGGTGAAAGATGTTAATTCAGTCCATTCACACTGCTTCCTTTTTGAATATATGAGAAATGAGAATATCGACTGGCTAAAGTGTCATAATGAGCAGGTTAGGTCTGTTAAATACTTGTTTTAATGTATTAAAAATGAGAATATTTGAACTAAAAACTGAGCAGGTATATTAGAAAATGTTTGGATCTTGTTTTTTACACTGTCCTTATTCTAACTTTGCTGCTTTATCTTAAATCATACCAGAAATTATCTATGGTAATACTTTCCTAAAGACAGAATTTATTATAATATGCCAGAAATGGATAAGTTGTAAATGAAATTAGTTTGAATTCTCTCTAGTGTCTGTAGACTATGCAGTGTGGATAAATACACTTGTTAGGAAGCCTCCTGGGGCATATGCTTGCTTTTAAGTCAGTGGAGAGGAGAAAGGAAAGAGGGAGAATCTCTCGGGCTTGCTTAGTTGAATTGATGTGCTGAACCAGTATAACATCACAGTGCAGCATCAGTGGATCTTGAAAATATCTTGCTTAGCTACTGTTCTAAACATAGCAGCAGCAGCACTTTGTGTGCCTGTGTCATTCAGAGCTTTCGTTTAATAAAGCATCAAGAAAAGATGTTACTTGTCCTGAAATTCTTTCTAAATTGGTTCAGCAGTAGTTGGAGTCCGATGCGTTTTTTTGCCTTCCTACATATGTAGGAATTGTGGTTAGTCTTTTGAAAAATGCAACAGTTGTTGCTTGTTACTGACTTTGGAGGCCTGTTATTTGTATAGATACATTATAAAAGCAGTATCTGCGCAGATGCAAATCATGTCTTATGTAACAATAATTGAAAATTAATTTATATGAATTTTTCTTCTGCTTAATATAATGTGACAGTGCATTCAGTTCAGCTGTATAGGAGCTTTAAGGCAATGGGGTTAGGACTTGGTATGTTCTGATTTCTCTTGAAATTTTGGTAAAGCACTCTCAAATATGTAGTTTGATGTTACTGTGTATGTGTACTTGCGTGTGTGTGTATAAATACTTTTTTAAAGTAAGTTTTATTGTAAAATTTTTACGAAAACTTTTACTATCCTATAGATTTTTTAGAAACAAAAATGTGTGTGTCTTTTATCATTTAAACTTTTTTTGTTAGAATGCCATGATGACATTTGAAGAAGAGAAAATGCAACTGGCCTGTGATGACTTAAAGGCTACAGAGAAACTATGTGAAAGTGAAGAAGCTGGAGTTATAGAAACAATCAAGAATAAAATTAAAAAGAATGTAAGAACATTATTTTTAAAATACTGGAATTGTGTATTGGATAGGTATTTCTGGAAACTTCTTTCTGTCCTCTTTGTATTTTTAAGAGATAATTTCTGATATGAGGTATTGTCCTGGTTTCAGCTGGGGAAGAGTTAATTTTCTTCCTGGTAGCTGGTACTCTCTGAAAGCTGCTGTCTTTTAGATTTAGTGTGAAAATAATGCTGACAACACAGTGATGTTATAGTTGTTAAGTAGTGCTTACCCTAAGTTAAGGATTTTTAAGTTTCCCATGCTCTGCCAGTGAGCAGGTGCACAAGAAGCAGGGAGGGAGCTTGGCCAGGATAGCTGACCTGAACTAGCCAAAGGGTTATTCCATACCATATAAACTGGAGGGAGCTGGCCAGGAGGGGCAGGTCACTGCTAGTGAATCAGTCAGCAGGTGGCAAGCAGTTGCACTATGGATCACTTGTCTTTTCTTGGGTTGTATTTCTTTCTCTCTTGGTATGTTGCTTTTCATCATTATTATCGTCGTTGTTGTTTTATTTTTGTTATTAAGCTGTTCTTAACTCAGGAGTTTTGCTTTTTTCGATTCTCCTCCTTGTCTCACTGGGAGGGAGGAGGGAGTGAACAGCTCTGTGCTGTTTAGTTGCTGGGTTAAATTAACCATGACAAGATGAATAACAAATTTAGAAATTAAGTCAAATATTTTGCTTGGATTTCCTGATTATCATAAAATACCCAGTCAGGCAATTCCTATTCTAAAGCAGCAGGTGGTGTTGATGCTGGTAAGTATTTTTTTAACACGTCAAATTAGTGACCTATTAAATTATTTTAGGAAGATTGTACCATGTCTAATTCAGGGTACCTTGAATTCATACATGCTTTAGTAATGTTCAAATGTTGTGACACTGAGGCTGCATAGTGCTGTGTGCCAGGCATATTCCTAGGGAATTTTCCTTCCTTGTTTAGATTTTTCATTCTAAATAATGAAGGAAGAATAAAGCATGCAAATTAACAACTAGTTAAAGTAGTAATACAGAAACGTCCAGTGAGTGGCCTGCCTAGTGTGACATAGCAGAACTTCAGCAGAAGAAGCCATTTCTTTGATATTTAGTTTACTTGGTAAAAAGTATTGAACTTGACATACCTTAACTCTCTGCTCTTAAGAGACACTGTATTTTCCCTGCCACTTGTCATATACCGCTTTCTGTGCTCTTCCTATCGAACATCTTAGTTACATGTCTGCATTTGGTAATAATTAAATGAAATTTAAATCTATTTGTAGAATCTTAAGGAAAAACAGTTGATAGTATATATGTAGAATTTCCCTTTTTATTAAGTAGGATCTTGCTTGATGATCCATCAAAGAAATTTTAGCATGGTTTTGCACTTCAAAATGCTGAACTAATTTAGTAGCAATATTACCACTTGCAGTTAATTTTGGATTTTTTTAATTTGTCAGATTTAGACTAGCGTTCTGTACTATCTTTGTTAACATTTTTGTGCGCTCTGTGTTTGTATATTCCAAACAGGTTGATGGACGAAAATCCACTCTTTCCATGATAGATCGTCTACAAAGACAAATAATCATAGCAGACTGTCAAGTCTACTTGGCTGTGCTCTCATTTGTAAAACAAGAGTTATCAGGTGTGCTGTGGCTTTAATATTTAGATATATTTTTTGCATGACATCTTTTAAATAAAGCTTGGTCATAAAGTGGCAATATGACTATCAGTAAAGATGATTTGCAAGAAAGACAGTTCCATTTTAAACATTCCAAGATGGTACACTTGCAGAGGTATTGTTCTACCTTGTCTAGGTAGTAGTATCATAAAACGAGTTTGCTACAGATTACAGCTTTCTGCTTTCTTCATACCAATAATCATATTCAACTGATTCTCCATAGATAGGTTGGAATACGTTGCATGTTCCCATAGAGGCATTTGAGGAGTTGGTATGAAGATAGGTAGCATCTGTATGCTTCATGTGGCCTGTAAGATAAGAGGCCGTAGGTCCAAGCCACTGGGAAAATCCTAATGTCCCATGTGCATTATGTTCATGACATCTCATGGAGGTGATAAACTGCCAGTGAAAGTAATTTTAAATGAAGTGTGTTCAAGATGGAACTGCTGAATGAGTTCTTATAGTCTGGTCACCAAGTCCTTGCATACCAGAGAGGTTAATCCTGTTGTGCTGAATACAGACCTACTCATCTCAGCTGCAAAGCTGTTTCTAATGTTCTCTTTGCATTCCTGGATCTCTTGCATAATCTTAAAGCATGCCTTCATCTGTGAGTTTATAGAAGTTATGGTCAGGGTCATACACAAAGTGATCATGTTCCCAGGTTCTTACTAAATCTGTGAAGACCAAAGGATGGCAGTCAGACCAGATTGTCAGTGAAAAACCTGGTGATCAGCTGAAAGAAGTCAGAGAAATAATGTTTAGATTATTTAAAGTATCACAAAGATCTTCAGTTGAAGACAATGCTTTCTGCGATGGGCAGGACCATGTGCTTGGTTTCTTCCAAGCCATGACGTAAGAATATGTTTAGTTCTAGCTAGCAGAAATGCAGGGGTTATTTCTATCTGCTGTGTGTGTAGTGCTACAGAAAGGCTTTCTTACTATTTTTGATGTAGTTCTGGATTTTCATTTGTAGGTTGGTTTTTTTCCCACCTCTTGAAGCTTTTTTTCTTATTTCGGTATGTATTCTGCAGCTGCATAACTGAGTTGGATGCTGTAACTGAGGGTGGTGTCTGTTCCCTTTCTCTCTTGTCTGCTGCTCAGAGAACTGAAGTGGGTAGAGAGTACTGCAGAACATGAAGTATATTTGGGTTACTCTGAGTAAAAATATACCTGAAATTTTTAGTTAAAATTCCAAGTGGTTAAAGCCACCCTCAGTGACTGCTGGTTACTGCCATTGCTGAACTGTTGGATCCATTATTTCAAGTTTGTTTTTTTTTTTAGTCTATTTCTGATTATGTATAAACATCTTTTGTTTTTATGGTGTTTCTGTCTAGAAATAGCAACCAGATTATTGAAATGAGTGTGACTTACAAAAAAAAAAATTTTTTTGCAGAGGCAGACAAACATTTGATCAGTGGATGGGTGAAGAATCTTTGTGTTTTTCTTCCTGAACAGATTGACAAGAAGCATATGATGACACACAAGCTGCTTTCTCATATGCCTAACACATTTTAGATTTTCTTTTCCACCCTCATGGGTGTATTACAAATAGTTTCATCATAAAGTTGGTAACACAGCAACTTCCATTAGCTTCCCACAGCAATATTGAACTACCTTTTCTTGATATTTACCATTGCTGTCATGGATCTGACTACTTTCAGAAGTTTGTGCTGGGAAATCAGCTCAGTGATTGGGCTTGATGTAATTTTCACATTTAAGAAGTCACAAAAACATTATTTTAATTTGCTTTCTCTTAGTATATCAAATCTATTAGGGTTATGCTGTGTTAATGACAGCACACCAGCAGAAGCAAAGGCTAAAACTACTTTTTCTTTCCACCTCATATCCTTTCCATTTAATGCATGCATCAGAACATAGTGTTTCTGCTAATAGCTAACTGTCTGTAGGATAAGTAAAATGTGGGGTTTTCTTATTATTTGTCTGCTCATTGCTACGTATAGTTGTATGACCACTCATCTTGTGGTGAACCATGTAACTTAAAATATTCCATGCAAACAAAAAGTGACCTAATTGCTTAAAATTGAAGTAACTTTAGTCTTGTAATTCAGCTCAATCATGGCAGGGCTTTACATTTTTTTTATTGTAACACTTTAATATGGAATTCAAGATGGAAGATAAATTTTCTTAATACTTCATGTTGACAGAACCCTTCTGTCACAACTGAGAATACAAATTTTGCAGTTTCTCTCAGTGTGATTTCTTAAGACTATCAAACTAGTTTCATACAAAAAGAATCCAAAAAGAGCCAGTCTAGTCTGTGGTTAAGCTTCAGAAATGCTTTATTTGTGATTGAAAGACTTTTGTCAAAGATGTCAAAGGCTTATAAAGAGTGGTTAGTAAATAGTAATTAATACTAATTGGTAATTAATAGTAATTAATATTAACTTGGTAATTAATATTAATTTCCTTTTCTTTGATACACCCCACCTGTTATGATCTAATTCTGGCATCAGTTGTAACACTGATCTCTGCAAATTTGTGTTTAGAGCACTGCTGCTGTAACCATGCTTTTATTTTCTCTCATTTTATTAACTCCTTTGTCCCTGCAGTTCCTAACTCGGGGCTCTATCACAGACAAAATGTTGGTGCTTGCTTTTACATTTAACATGTACAAGTATATTTTGTGTTTGTCTTTTGATGAATGCTGTGTAAATAGGTTGGACATCTTCATTTTTGTTGTCATGCCTTTCTTTACCCTCCTTTAAAGACGGTAATGAGACAGAATTCTCTCATTCTGAACTGAGAATTCTCAAGACCAGATTTTTGGGGAAGTTTAGGTACCCAGTTTGCATTTGAAATTGAGGAAGTTAGGCAACTGAAAAAAAATGTTTTAAAACCATAAAATTCATGCGCTTTTTTTCTATTTTTCCTTAATTATAAGGCGCTGTGTTCATATGAGGGGCAGAGAAATGGTGGTGTTAAATCTTTTTATCTAATCCAAAGGAAGAGGTTTTCTTGGTATTTTCCTATCAACTGTCTTTCAACATCATTTGAACTTGAGGGGATCATCTCTTTGAGTTTTGCTTCTCTGTTTGCCTGGGAGCAGCTTCATCTCCTCTCAGCATTAAGTTCTTTGATTTCTCTTATTTCCTTATGACAGTTGTTTTGCTACATGGCTGAAGAAAAGTCCCTTTGCATTGAATGCTTTTTTAAAGTGTCTGGTTGAAAAGCACTTAAGTATCTAGTGCCCAGTATGAAAGACCTCTTCTAGAGGAAAGTAGATACTACAAAATCCTTCATACAATGTTAATGCAAATAAAGAGAGCATCCAGTGGTTTGTGAAATAACATTTACTACTTGCTGTGTTCCACTTCTGAAATACATCTTTGAAATATTTTTTTTCCTTGATTTTAGCATACATAAAAGGTGGGTGGATACTCCGAAAAGCCTGGAAAATTTACAATAAGTGCTATACGGACATTAATACACTTCAGGAAATATATCAGAAGAAAACAACTCAGGAATCCTTGACTTCTGATGCTGCAAATGATAATCATATTGCTGCAGAAGGTGTAACGGAGGATTCGCTAAACAGACTGAAAGGTGCTGTTAGCTTTGGATATGGACTTTTTCATCTTTGCATATCCATGGTGCCCCCAAACCTGCTCAAAATCATCAACCTGCTGGGTTTTCCTGGAGACCGCCTACAGGGGCTTTCTTCACTGATGTATGCAAGTGAAAGTAAGGACATGAAGGCCCCTTTAGCTACGTGAGTAGCTATATTGAAATGCTTTGGTAGATAACTTAGTACTAAAAGTAAGTAACTGGAAAAAAGTCAAAACCAAAAAGTTATGTTGTTTCAAAGGAAACAACAGCAGGTAAAATAAACTTGTAGTTTGTTATTTAACATGCCATGGTTTAGTAAATTCATCACTTTACTAGTGTATAAGATCTCTCTGCTGTTAGTTATTTACATGATCTGGGGTTTGTGTCAGTATTTTGCTGTTTTCTTGAGTACCTGCTGTTCTTATGTCTAGTAATTTATATGCCAGCAGAGTAAATAAAAAGTATCCCCTGAAGGCTGAGTGAATTTACCTGGGTTATATTCTCTGCTGTGGAGAGCATACTGTTTGTATGAGTCACTGATGTCACTTAGCTGTTTATCCTTACTATTAGCCAAAGATCTCTTCCAGTTTTCTTTTTGTTTTAGCATCCGAGTAAAATGGGATGTTCCTTTATAGTCTTGTTAGAGGATTATTTTTTGTGTACTCCTCTTCCCAAGCCTTCATACTGCATTCAGGTCTATTTATGAGATGAAAGGTTAGCCAGCCTAATCTAAACTGCCCTCATAAATTAGTTTATTATTCCATTATCTACAAATTAATGCTTTTATTACTAGACCTACTGCAGGTACCATCATATGTCACTTTTGAAACATTGACAGCAGAGCTGGTCTCTTATGCTTGAGAAGCAGAGTTGGATATCTGATTGATTAAGAAACCTTAACATTCAGTGTTCCTGTAGATTTGTTCTTTCTCCTTTCTGGGGAAGAAAAATGGTATTTTTTCAGGTGTTTCCTCCTTCAGATGGTCCTGGAAATCTTTGTGTTCTACCCTTGTTTCCAGGAGAGATGTAGGTCATGTAGACGTCTGCACTTCTGAACACCGGATGCATTTCTTTGACATTGATTTCAAGTGTGTCTGCTGATGTGTGTTTAGGTTTTTGTTTGTTTTTGTTTGTTGGGGGAGGGGGTGGTGTGGTGTTTGCCTCTAATGAGCAATTATCTTTCAAAGTTTTCCTGTAGGTTTTTCTTTTTTAAAATGTACAGACTTCTAAAGGCTTAACTGCTTTGATGCTGTGAGCTTGATTGTTACTTTACCTTTGGGTAATGTGCACTGAATTGTATGTTCAGGTGCAGTTTAGGGGTACGTTGATGTGTGGCAATACTATTGTGTTTGTTTTAAAGCTGGGTTATATAAGGAAAGATTAATATCTTTGTCTTTCAGAATAATTTAAAAATATGCCTGTGTAGAACATTATCCTTAAATTTCTGTTTACAAGCAGTAATCCTTTTTACTCTTATGTTTCTTTTAGATTAGCTCTGTTGTGGTACCATACAGTTGTTCGTCCCTTTTTTGCCCTTGATGGCAGCGATAACAAGGCAGGATTGAAAGAGGCAAAAGAAATTCTTGCAAAAAAAGAGTCTGCTTATCCAAATTCTTCTCTGTTCATGTTCTTCAAGGGAAGGATACAGCGATTAGAGGTATTGCATGTTTTTTTCCTTTTGACTGATTTCTCCTCCCCATCCTTTGCTATTTTATGTTTTTCTGATGTGATTGAGCTGTGCAAGCTTCAGCAAATTGTGACTAAAGATATAGATACATGGAGTGATAAGAAGAATATGGGATTAACTCCTTCCTAGTTTCAAGTTCATATGCCAAACCTGCTCTTCCACTATTTCTATCTGAATTAATGTCACTTTGAAATTCTTTTTCAGCTACTTGATACGTTGGTAGGAAGCTCAAAGGAAGTGCTTTTGGTCACTCATGAGTTTCTTGTGGTATAAATAGCTATTTCAGTTTTGCTTGTCAAGCTAAAATCTGTGTATTATCTGCTGAATACATAGCATTTATCTTCCCCTTTTCATTTTATGCCACGTTCATATACAGCTAATTCTCTCCAATAATTTCCCTGATATAGCTGCTTTTGCTTTTAAGAGGTCAAACCAGGATATTTTCTGCTGCTAACGGTAGGCTCTGACCCAAGCACAAATGTATTCACTGAAAACATGTTTGTGAATGCTGTTGCAGAGTGTTATTCAAACACTGCAGTAGCCTCATGGTTTTTGGCTGAGTTATTCTTTAAGAATCTGTGATAATAGAAAGTGGTGGTGAGTACTTTAAACTACTCATCTCCTAGCTGCTGCTTTTATCAGACCAGAATATTTCCAGAGAAATTAGATTAACAAGAAAACCCAACACAAAAGCACAAACCCAGAATGTTCAAACCCTTCATCTCAACACCATAATTACAAGAGCTAATCCAGATCTCAATATTGATGGTCATTTGCTAGGGTTGACAGTTAACTTTCTCAAATACAACTTAGCATTTTGAGGGAAGCAGCAACAGTAACAGAACAGAGGGGCAAGCTTCAGTGGCCTGTCAGATTTTGCAGGCTTATTCTTGCATGGGATTTGGATGTTGGGTTTTTTGCTGTCACTCTGACAGCAACAGTGCATTTGCGGAATTGCACTGTTACAGACAAGCTGTCAGTGTTTGGGAAGTATTGCTGTTTTCCAAGCAGGAAAGATTTTAATGGTCTTAGGTCAATTTTATGTATATTCCATTCTTATGTTAAAAATCAAATTTGTTAGGAATAGCTACACAATGAATGCAAGTGCAGTTAAAAATGTAAATAATGTTGATTGCCAGATTATGACTTGGTATTTCGAACTCTTCCCTCCCCCTCCCCATTTAGCATAATGAGGAATAAAATTCAGCTGATTATTCTGACTTTCAGGGCAAGCTAGAACAAAAGTGTAAACATAAGTTGTAAGTAAACTGAGTGTGTTTCTATGTGTAAATACAGAGGATAGGTTTGGGATGAGTTGCCAGTCCCCTTCTGGAGTACTGTTAAGTTTAAAAGAAGAGTTGTTAACATGTCATCTTAGAGTGTGCATTAAATGATACAGTATATAGATACCAAAGTTTAACTCCCAAGTGAAATAGTTTGTGCCAGAAACAGTGTGGCCATGTTACCCAAGTTAGTTAGCTTAGGCAGACAGAATACTGTGCCTTATGCTATGTAGCCATACTCTTTAAGTCAGCAGAAACCTTAATCGTTGCTAACAACAAATTAAAATGTTGCTTTGCTATTCATCTGTTTGCATGAGAGCTCCTCCATTCAGCAGCCTCTTCCCCCTGCCTCTATCATTCCTTTGTTGTAAGTGGTACTGTATCACTGAGGATTTGCTGTGTCTAAATGTTAAATGTCTAGGCTCTTCTGTAGGCTCTGTTCAGAATTTACAAGCTTAATTGGCTCAAATGACAATTAATTGACATAATAATGAAGGCAGATGTGTGGCTGGTGGCAGTGACATGGGGAGCTGCACTGGATTCTGCACAATACACTTGTGGTTACACGTGTCTCAAATCTGGGCATTGGTCTTACAGCATCCATTGTACACTCTGAGCCAGAAGTGCACATATACTTCTAGATTACAAACTAATATGCCAAGTCATAATTTCTGCCTTGTCTCCCAGGGCAGTTGAGGAAAGCTCCTGTAAAGCCTGGGAAGTGCTTATGTGGCCTTCCTTAAAATTGTTAATACACAGGTAGGTTTCAGTTCTTTCCATCAGATATAGGAATGTTATTTTCAGATGATTTACTGAAATTGGGAAGTCTGTGCTCTGACCTATATGCACTTAAAAGTATAGCTTGAGCTGAAGCTTATATATTTTGTAGTGTATCATGTATCATCTTTTAAAAGTTCTGTGATAAAATTTAAATATATGTAGATGATAGGCAGCTTAGATGTTGTCATACATAAGACCTTGTGTGTTCTGAAAGTACAGATCAGTAATTGTAGACTTTGTATTAGAGACAACTAGCACTCAGCCCATCAAATTTTTTTTTTTTATACCCTTTGATCCTGCATATCTTTTGTGTAACTTTCAGCTGATAGTATATTCAGCTTCCAGTGGCAAGTCTGCCTACACCTGTGTGTCTGTGTGTATTTTTTCTTTTCTGTGGAGAAAGAAACAGTAAGGAGCATAGTTCATCCATGAACACCTGGAGGCAGAAGCAGTAATGCAAGGCTGGATAGTGAGACACAAATCTGACAAAAGGAGAAAATTGGCAAGGCAGGCAGTTGAGAATGGAAGATTTCCTGGTGACAGTGCTGTGAAAGACAAGTGAAGAGCATGTGACCTTTATAATTTTTATGCACCAAAAGCGTATATGAATATTAGTCAATAAAAGCCTTAGAGTTAGGTTTTCTAAGAAGTAGCCTTACAGATACTGTAAATGTGGACCAAATTATCTTTCAAATTTTTTCGCAGATTCACATTTTTGGGAAATGAAGTCTAAAAGCATTTGGAGACTATTGAAATTAATGAGTTAAGGGAAAGGAGGATGATCTGGGAAAGCTGAAATCAAAGTGCACCATGAAGTAAAAGGTTGCACTGGTAGGCTGATCAAATCTATCTCTCTTTAAGAGTAGGTTAAGAGTCTGTGTATTAAAAGTAGCATTTTTCCTGACTTTTACATAATTCACTTAGGCTGGTTTTATGGACATAACTATTGCAGTGTTTGGCTCATGATGTATGGCATGTATTCCAGACTCACAAGTATTTCTTTGTGAATGTCTGACTGTTTCTATCTTTGAAATACTTTTAAACTAAAGCTGATAATGATGTTTCATGTAAGCTTAAGCCACTAAAAACAAGTGAGAATAACATTTTTATACTTGAGCCTAAAGGGTGCTTAAAAATGTAATTAGTGGAATAGCTACTGAACCGCACTAGTCTGAAATCCAGTTTCCGGCTGTGCCCTTGGGTCTTTCCTATTACTGTGAAAATAAAAATATTGCCATCTGTTTGCTAAATATGTATTGTCTAATATTATAATTATGTTAATAAATACCAATTTACTTTTGAAACTGTGACTTAGACTATTCAAGTGTGATATTGTGGTCAGTAGCGAGATTGGCGTGGTGGTAGCGTGGGAGAGGGCAGAGCAAAAAAGGTGATGTTCTGAATTACATATTTCTGCTTTTCAGCTTGCAAGTTTGTTTTGTTTTGTTTTTTTTTTTCTTTTTTACCTGATTAGCAACACTTTTTAGAAAATCTTCATCTGCTTTTTTAGGTAGTACAAATCACCCCACTCAGAAATAAACAGATTGATAGCTTCATGTGCAGAGCATTAAGGGTATAAAGCAAAAATAAAGTGTGTGACAAAATCGTGAATGAAGCAAGATTGCTTCTCTTTGATTAGGAACAGACTATGGGTGTATATATAAACAACAAGGAATCTTGGGCTGGGACAAAACTCCAGTTCTGAGGCTTGATCTGATGAGTTCGGTTGTAGGTGCATGTTAAGAGTCTGAAGGAAAAAGTACCAAGTACTCCAGCTGACAGGCAAAATGTTAGTGGTACGTTCCATGTGTGCTGCAGGGTGTTTTGATGTGCAGTCTGGTGAAAATGTGCGATGGTATTGGGGGCTTAAATGTAATGCTGACTAGTACTCTTGCTTTTTTAGTTACCTTTGGTAGACATCTTGGTATTAGTGGTGTCGTTCTTATTTAGGGGTGGGAGGGTGTGGTGGAAAGTAGACTGAGGGCAAGAGTAATACTAAGCATTGGGAAGTCTTAAATGAATTTTCTGAAATACTAAGTCACAATGATGTCTGAAATAAAGAAATTTTTAGAGCTTGTGTAATGTTAAGGTTTATTTTCAGGAATTGCGCTGGCCTCTCTAGTTAGTTGTTCTAGGCTATAAAATACAGAATCCTAATTTTACTCTGAGTTTTTGTGTTTAGGGAAAAAGGGGTGGTGGGGGGGGTGGTGTGAAGGAATAGAAAATATGGGCTTCGAAATTTCCCTAGTGTCCTCCAGTGTAAATGGTCCCCTTCTTAGATGTTGTTTGCTGGTTTTCCCTTAATCATGAGCATGACTTCTTAAAAGCTTCACAGATTCATAGTGCTGATTTGAGAATAGAGAGGTCCTGGAAGAATGAAAGTGTCCTGAGATTTCAGAACAACTCTGTGGGGAAACGTGTTAGCTCAGGAAGCTGCCTTGGCTGGGGAAGCTCTGTAGGTGCTTAGTTGGTGGGCTGGGGTATTTTTGGTTTTAATTTGAAGGTAGGAAATGCACTATTATGATTCTCACCTTAGCTTCACTAATCTTCTTCATGATTATGTAGTTCTGTATATTACACATTTTATGGATTAATCTTTTTTGTTTTTATATTATGTCTGAGAGGCATGAATGATGCCTGTTGATGGAATAACACGTGTGTGTGTGTGTGTGTGTGTATTTTTAAATCTCAAGAATACCAATTTCAGGTGTCAGCCATGATGTTGTTATACTTGCAAACTCTTGGGACTTTACAGTTTTGTGTTTATTCTCTGAAACAGTAAATGGATAGTAATTAATTTTAAGAGTAAACACTCAGTAGAAATTCATATTCCAGTATGTTGTAACAATCCCTGGAGATGAATGAAACTTTTAGTTATTAAGGAATGTCTCTGAAACATATTTACTGAGCTTGATGCTTAAGGAAAACTTATGCAGATGTCAAAACATTTGAGAGATCTGGATAGCTAGAGAAATGGATTATAGAAGATTGAATATTCAACTAACTGGACTTCTGTATTACTGTGTGTACTCCATGTGCTGCCCCAGGCTGGTGTATGGCATTGCAGGCAATGATGTAATTGCTGTTAGTCATTGTGTGGAATAATATGTCCTACAAATAACTGATTTATTTTTTCAAATGTTTTAAGTTTTTTAGGTTTTTAGAAAGCAAAGTATCTTCAGAAAGGACTAAATACTTAGCTTTTTTTTTTTTTTCATTTTCCTCAGAAGCATTCAAAACATACGTTTACTGAACTTTTAAACTTCTTAGCACAAACCCAAAGTTTTAAGCCAACATTATTTTACTTTTTCTGTAAGACTGGACTCATAACACTTATTTTCCAGGAAGTTGTGTTGGGACAATATAGCATTAGTGGTGTAATGTGTGGTGGAGAGATTGTGTTGCTACAAAAGTAAACAAAGCATACATTACTCAAGCTCCTTGGTAACTTTGAGGGCAAGTGTAACTCACCTGTTTTTCTGTGCAGTGTATTTTTCTGTCATGCCAGCAAGCATTTTAGTCTAATCACCATTTTATTTTCAAGTGTACAGTGTTCATATTGGTACAGCTGTGTATTGTTTTGCTGGAAGTTGTGCTGTCGTCATGCAATATATATGATTTAAATTGTTCCTTAGCAACTAAAACAGTTTTCCCTGATGAGACAAAAGAAGAAAAATCTAATAAAATCACTTAGAGCTCTCTGTGTGTGTGGTCTTTAGATACAACGCTGCAGATTTTTGCAGGAATTTTTGAATTCAATTATGCTTGCATAAGTGACAGGTTTACTTTTGGTTTATAAATGATTCTAATTGTAAGTGAGAATAAACATAGGACTACTGTTAAGTGGGTATAGGCCACATTGGCATATGTAGTGTGTCTGTGTATAATACTAATTAATGGAGAGGGTGCAAATCAACATTTGTGATGATTGTTATGGAGAAGTCCCATCCTAGACTGGGAAAACTAGAAATTACAGTAATTAAACTACCATTCTAGTTCTTGCAAAACTGTTAGCCTCTTTTTGCTAAGCTCTTGGTAACTAATTTTATCACGATTTTTTTTGTCTCATATGCCTTTTTATCTTTTTACGTGTCATGTAGCATTTACAAATTCTCTATTAATTGTTGCTTAAACTGATTACTGAGGGAGGTGTGAAAAGGTGTAATAGTTCAAAATAAATAAAATTAAACATTAAAGTTTACCTTATTTTGCAGAAAGCTTAAACTTTATTGCCAGATGCTAAAAATATGACTTTTAAAGGTGGAATGACTAATTAGAGTAGAAATGAGATTACTCAAAAGCTTCCTGCACAGAACCGATGAATTTCAAAGTCAGTAGCGAATAGAAGGAAGCCACTTAATTTTTAAGATTGAGAGATGATCTGAACTGGCTGTAAGTTATTAATGATAGTTATTATATTATTAAACTCCAGTACTGTCTCCCTCCCCCCTTTTTAAACTCTAATGTTCTACATTTCTCTTTTCATATGAAGACTTGTAGAGTGGAAGTTCCCTACTGTATGTTTTAATTTTTACTGTTGCACGTGGTGGAACAGATTGTTAGTACCTTGCAAGCAAAGGCTTTGCATTCTTGTCTAATCTGAGTTTCTTCATATTAGTGATTCTTACTTCCCTTGTCTCTTATAATTTGGCTTTTGTGTTATGTTTCATATAGTGAATACAAAATATACAGAGAAATCTGTTCACTATGAGACCTCTTTAAGATGCTTGTTTGTCATTGTAAATAAAGACTTTCTCATAATTTGCCCATACTTCCAGTCAGAAGTGGTTCAGGTTGAAAGAGTTGAGGGGAGGGAAGCTGGCCAAAGGAATTGCAGTCTGGAACTGATATATTAAATTCGTATTTACCTTTCTTCAAACTGTTAACTCTGGTGGATTTTAGCTCATTTAAAATAAGCTGGAGTCTGAAATGAATTTTGATGTTTTCCTCTCAATGGGATGATGTGTTTCTTTCATCTAGCCAAACCAAAGGCTGAAATCTATAAGACACTTCTATATAGTTATTTTTAAATACCTGTTAACAGAAATCTGAATGATTTCTTTATCAAAATCAAACTATCCCACAAATTTTTAATTTTGCATATCTGAATTTTTTTTTCTTCTTTCGCTTTTGTTAGTGTCAAATCAATAGTGCCTTGACCTCATTTCATACCGCTTTGGAACTTGCAACAGACCAAAGGGAGATTCAGCATGTCTGCTTATACGAAATAGGTAAGTTGGATGTGTTTATACTATAAATAGCTCACTTCTAAGTTTAGACTAACAACTTCAATAAACAAACTAGGTTATTTTTATTAGGATTTTAAAAAAAGGTTTTAGAATACTGGCCTTTGTCTTGGATGGATTATGGTAATAATCTTGTTTTCTTGTTTGGGCAAGTAGAATTCAACAGGTTTTCATAATTTTAAAGTTTTCTGCAAATACAAGGTGATGCAAAATCAGAGAGTAGGCTATAGAATCAAGGCACACTGTTCAACTACAGAGTATTATTTAAAATGAGAAATTAATTACTCTTTGTCTGTGGAATCACTACATATGTGCCAAAAAGTAATCAGTCTAGTGAAGCTTCACAGTTTGCAGGACCTGTATTTTATGTTCATTTCCTTTCCATGTGTTCTTAATTTGCATACAAGTCCTTAGAGTGGAGAAGATGTGTTGTTGCTCCAGGCTTTAAATGTGTCTTGTTAAGGGATCTTGTCACATTGGGGTAGAATAAGGGAGCAAGTAGTAGCTCTGTAAGTTTTAGCATCCTACAAAATGTGTTTTTTTTTTAAAAAAAAAAAAAAAAAAAAAAAAAAGTTAAGCTTTTGGTGTCTGTGTAGATTTTCTTGTTGTTGCTCTTAAGTGAGTTCATTGTTTTGTATGAAATCTTACAATTGTTTCCCAGTAAATTGAAACTGGGCTTTAAATGTGTGTCATTGATTTGGTTTTAACTTTTCTGGTTATTGTTATAATTGTTAAGCTAGTTCCAGCTCTCATAACAGACTCTGTGTTTCAGTAATGTTGACACCAAATTTGAATTACTGTGCTTTCTCTGAAGTTAAATAACTCTTGCTTTTAGGTTGGTGCAGCATGATAGAGATGAATTTCAAAGATGCGTTTGAATCCTTTGAAAGACTTAAAAATGAATCCAGGTGGTCCCAGTGCTACTATGCTTATTTAACAGCAGGTGTGTATATTAAATGTGTTGGATAAGTGATAAATCAGTTTGGAGGGAAACTTGTGCACATAGTTTCTTCCAAACTGCCTGCTGCTTATGCAGATTTATGCCAGACTTGACTTAGATAATTTTGTTTGTTTATATAATGTACACTTGTGTGCAGGCACATGCGTGTGCCCAAGTACTTTCCCTATATCTCTCTCTCCTTCTAGATGTAGATACAGTTATGATTATCAGTGTAGCGACAGGTCATGTAACAGTGTATTGCAAAAACTTAAATAAATAAATCCTTAGAGGTTGGGTGGTATTAGAAAAAGTAGCACTGACTCATTAATGATCACAGAGTTGGGGAGTTGAGATTTGCATGTCTGTCAGATCCCCAGTCTAGATCCTTCCTGGAAGTGAGTGTGTCTTTTTTTTTTTTTCCTGAGACCATATGATATCTAATCTTAATCTTTCCAGTTTCCTATCCTGGTAGTGTTAACACATTTTTGTTTCTGTGTTCTTACAGTGTGTCAAGGAGCCACCGGTGATGTCAGTGGTGCTCAGAATGTGTTCAAGGAAGTTCAGAAGCTTTTCAAAAGAAAAAACAATCAGATTGAACAATTTTCCGTGAAAAAGGTTTGATTTTAGCATAGGCTGACTTGTTTCAGTACATTTATTACACTTGGTAATTTTGTTGGAATCTTTACCAGTATTTATTTTTGAAGGATATATCTGTTTTCTGTTGTGTTGCTTCTATAGAATTAGTGGGAAGGAATGAGGTGGAAAAACAAGTGTCATGTATTTTAAGGACCTAGCAAAGGAAATGTGAATTAGCTATTCACTTTACAGCTAAAGTAATTACTAAAGATAAAAATACATGATACTGCACTTGCTCTGGTAATTTTCCTTCTAGCTTTGCTTTTCTTACTCCTTTTTATTTTGTCTTGTTTCTCAAAGCCTTAGTTCTTTTTGAAAGCTAGGAGTTGCCTAGAAAGTATCTCCCAACTGATGATCTTGCAGATGTATCGTTTCAGCATCCAGTTAGTGTCTACTTGGGATTGTGAAATACAGTAAAACATGATCAGGCTACATACAAGGAAGCTTTAATTTTGATCAATATGTAATCCCTTAAATTAATTGAAAGATTTTGCTTTTTAGTCTTAAAAGTTTTTACGTTATCACTAACTTTATTATCATAAAATTGGTGGATGCTTTCATGAAACAGCTAGAATTACTGTTTATGATACATTGTTTGTGAATATTATGTTCCCTCTAAAAGGTCAGATGACAGATCTCCCTTTCCTTTTTCTCCTCACTTTGCAGGCAGATAGATTTAGAAAACAAATGCCGACCAAAGAGCTCTGTGTCCTGGCATCCATTGAAGTATTGTACTTATGGAAAGCCCTTCCAAACTGTTCTCTCTCAAATTTACAGCATATGAGCCAAGGTATAATCAGGTTCCTTGACTTACTTATTAAAATCAGGTGTATAATTTTCTTTTGTTATGTGGAGTAGCTGATTGTTGTAGCATGAAACTTTAAACTAGTGTCCATGTGTCATAGCAAAACAGTTTGAGTAACAAAAGATTAACGACCCATTAAGATTCAGTTTAATGCCTCATTTTTAACGTTTTTATGGGTTTTGGGGAAAAGTTTAACTGCCTGCTGCATATAGTTGTTTTTTAATTTGCCCATTATTGAAAATAGTAGCTTGATAGTTATTTTTCAGAGTCACTAAGCAAAATTTAACTAATTTAAACCTAGCTACAAAATGAAAAAACACAACTACCAATTCATTTCTGCATGTCAGTTTTTGTGTAAGAAGAAATATATAGCTTGTGAGGTCATGTATGACATAAGGGTTCTGTTTATCTTGGGTGCTGGGATCATCTTAGTGGTGAAAGGAGCATTTTATGGTTGCTTCTTTCTTAGTCTGCAGATGTCTTTGGATATCTGTCACATGAAGCTTATGGTAGCAGTGTTTATCATGAAGTTTTCAGTACTCCTTTCTCCATCCAGTGATCAGTCTTGTTTGCATTTTGCAAACAATTTCAAGTTACTGCCTGCTTATTTAGAAAATTGAAAAAAAATGTCTGCAAGTGAGATGCTTCCTTTTTTCTGTAACTGTGAAATTTGGGTTTGTACATGAGTTATGTTAAACTAGAAAACTACCAGTCTTTAAGTCAAGAGTCAGGACTAGTTGTGGGGTTTGGTTTTATTTTAAGATAATTTCTCCATTTAAATTGCGTGATGACAGTAGGTTACATTCAGATCCCTAGTTTTCTAGTCCCAAAGATAATGGTGAAGGCTTTAAAATTAGATTTCAGAATCTGTCTGTCACTTGCTTTCAGAACAATCAGCTTTAGAGGTTGTAAAGAGTATGTATTTCTCTCCTGCACACTCAGAAGCAGTATAGATCTTCCTGTATAAACTTCTAGCCAGTGGTTCATATTTTAATGTGAAATAGTACTATAGATTAATCTGCATCAGCAATCCCTGGTTGAAGATTTTCAAGTGTTACTGCTATGTCTTATGTGTATCTCAAGAATGATGAAATGATAGGGGATTTATTTTTCATTTTAATTTGCCGTCTCTTCTCTTGAACAATTGGAGTGTAATTTGCTGGGGTTAGTTTCCAGGCTTTTCCTCAGGGCAAGAAGCTGATTTAAAAATAAATAAATTTGTATCCATATATATCTCTAAGTAAAATGCCAAATAACTTGAGACTTGGAATACAAGTGAGAGTTGACAGACTTTGTGTGTTGTGTAATGTCCAAATACTTCATGCAGCCAACTCTTAGTTATTCATAGGTGGTTTATTTGGGTTGTGGCTTAACTGTGTTGTGTATGCACATCTAGTTAAGATCAGGCAGGGTTTATGAGATGAGATAGAGTGCGAAGTTAATGGAGCTCTACTGCTCCAGGCACAGCAGTTCAGCTCCTTTTGAAGGGATTAAAAGCCCTGCAGGCCTCCCTGTGCCTCAGCCTTTCTGGAGGTGATGATACAGACAAGTGCAAATGGCTCCTCATGGAACTGGCCTTGATTTAACAGAGCTGGCACTAATAAGCTCGATCAAAATGGGGCCTGATTCATCTGGAGATGGTTACATGCATCATGATTCAGTTCTTCCTGGAAACAGAGCTCTACTCAGCTGAGGTACAGGCTGTCCCTGGGTTGTGGACCAGCTAAGGTCTGGCAGATAAGTCTTATCCTCTCATCAGTACTCAGAATTGTGATGCCAAATTATCCTAGTCTGGGTTTTTAAGTCCGGTACAGATTTTTGTGCGTATGTCACTTGGCTTCAGTTCAGAACAAATTGGCTTGTCTGACCTGCTTGCCCTGTGCTCCTTGTAACTTGGACTGTGTGTTTTTCTGTCAATATCTGGGGCAAACTAGTTTCCCATAACACCAGAAGGAGTTTTTTAACTTTACCTTTTAGTGGGTGTTTCATAGATCAAGTAGAGAAATGGAATCTCTTCTTCTGGTGAGAAAAACACACCAACTGCTTTTGACTTCAGCCCATTCATTCCTGTCAAGAATTGTTCTCATGAGTGTCAGGTTGTTTGATGAGGCTTATACAAACCGGGTTGTATTTAAAAGAAACCAAAGGACTTAGATTTATATTACTGTTAGTAGCATCTTTTTCTGATCTAGTTTAATCATCAGTCTAAAAGTCACCATAGACCACAACTCTTGTCTGAGGAAGGATTTCAATCCATGTTATTTGTTTACTGGAATCTTTTCATTAAGCTTGTCAGGATGTTGATGATTCATCAGCTGTTGGCTTGAGGAATTTGCTTCTTGGTGCCATACACAAATGCTTAGGAAATTCTGAAGATGCTGTTCAGGTAAGTTGTTAAATGATAATTTACACCATGAATCCTTTTTTATGAGCTAATCTGCTAAACAGTAAATATTGAGTGAGAATGTTAAGCAAACTGCTAGTGCTATTGATCATTCTGTTTTGTTAATTCCAACAGAGCATGTCAGGTTCTTTTTAAATCTTCTGGTTTAGTATGTCTTCATTGTATTCCGTGTTGTAAAAGTAATTGGCCATGTTGAATGAACATGACAACTAAAGTGGCTTGTAGGAGCAAGAATTAAGGACAAGCTGGGAAGAATGGAAAAGTTCTTGCCTTGCTGGATTTACTTTGTCCAACAATGAAAATTCAATTTTAAAAAACAAACCAAAATCAGCTTGGAGATCGACCTTTTGAAACTGTAGGTTTGCTGCTTCTCCTCCAGACCTATTAGACACTGAGAGGTTTGATTATTAGCACATACCAAAGAATAATTTTACCACTGCTCCAGGCTTTGATCTGTAGGCACAACTTTTATTTTCCTCCTTGAAATAGAATGCAATTTACATAATCAACAAGGAAGCTGATGCTAGCTTTAAATCTTTTCTCTTTTTTTTTTTTTTTCTTTCTCTCAAGCATACCTTATGTAATCCAGGTACTTAATTTCTGATGTAAAAGTTCGTTAGATCTAATATTTTTTCAATAGGAAGTTGGAACACTCCTGAAACAATCAATATATTACTTGGTAAAAATCCAAACAAATAATTTGGCCTTGATACAGTAGTGTTGGTAAAAACATATGGGTCCTTGCTTAAAAATCTCTACCACTGGAAATTTTAAATGTATTTTCATTTTATCTTTGGGCTGATTTCTAGTGCTTAAAGCTGAACAGTACTTCTAGGTCTCTAAAGTATCAAACAGTCAATTTTAATGAATTACTGCAGTCTTTTTTTCCTTTAATTTTTATAGTTCTTTCAACGAGCTGCTAAAGATGAGCTGTGCCGTCAGAACAACTTGTATGTCCAGCCGTATGCTTGCTATGAACTTGGCTGTCTTCTATTAGACAATCCAGAGGTAATAGCATAACCTATTTTTAAACTCTTAAAATTAGGGTGGGGAGTCAACATATCACTATACAAACAACGAAACAAAGTTTATAGGTGCTAATGTATGTTAAGTTTAAAAAATTTATTTTAGACCTATTGTAAAGAAACTACTTTGTTTCTTTACAAACCAAGCAATGCAGTGCGATTCAGGTAAAGTCTTAATTTTTCAATATCGAGCTATAAGGACATTCTGAGGATCTTAGTGTATCTGTCAGTAACACTAAAATGACTTGTTTTGTTGTTACTAGGTTTTGTTTTTACATGAAAAATAGAGCCTGAGACTCTCTAGGATTCTTCAGGGCAGTTGTTACATTCCTGACCATTAGTGGTGTCTTTCTCTAGCAGTAAAGTTTGAGTGTAGCACCACAGTGTTTTAATTATTATTTAGCACTTTGCACCAAAAAGACTTCTCATCTCTCTGATCATGTCATGATGCCCATTTTTTGGTATGTGACTTACAGAAACAGTATATAAAATACTGAGGTATGGCAATGCTTCTGTTGCCCCTTAAGATGCAAAGACCTCTCTCCCCCTTCACTTGTCTCAGTGTTCCTGCTGCTGGTGGCAGCAGAGGCCTGGCAAGAATGCCTTGGCTAGGCAGGGCTTTGTCTGCAGGTGGTACTTAGTGTGGCGAATGCCTGGGATGCTTTTCTTACGTATTTAATTTCCTGTTGGATGCTGTTCAGACTCAAAGATCACCTGTAGTTATCTTCTCCAAATAGAATTTGATATCTTCCTAAAATAGCTCCATGTTTTTGGAATCAAAACTTATATTTGGAACAATATAGCATGTGTCAAAAGTCTTTTTACTTTGATGTTATTTATCCCTATTCTTGGGACAGATATCTTCCTAATCTTGAGCATCAGTGCATCTTGGAAACCTAGATGGACTGAGGACATGCATACCATTGTACTATTTAATTGCAGGGAATATATAAGTAAAGTGATTTCAGTCATTTCAATTTCTTTAAAGCTGTATGTGTTGGCATTTTAGCTTTCACTCTGCCATGTAGTGAGGTTTCTGTTGTTCAGGATGAAGAGGATAACAACTGACCTGGCTTTCAGACTGTCCAAATGGCTTGGTCGTCAATATACTTGATTGTTCAGGTCTTTGCACATACCCTGCCTCCTAGGGACCCCAGAGTATCTTAAAGTAGGGCAACTTTTGCATCACTCTTGGTGCTGTTTCTCTCATTAAACATGTAATGCTGCTCACTATTTGGAGTTTGTGCTGCATTATGTAGTACTTCCTGAATCAGACTGCAAGTTAGGGGAAGTGGTTACAGGGTAATGGCTTGAACTCCCACATCATTGTATGTAGTGTATAAAGTAGTAGGGCTGATAGTATCTTACATTCGTAAGATTCTGGTTTCAGTTGGTTTTAATCTTGTCAGATTTAATAGTCTGAGCTGAACCTTCCTGTTAAAGAGGGAAAGGAAGGAAATGAGAATCTTTCAATAAAAATTATCATGACAAAACTAGAGAAAACGCTTTAAAAAATAATAGTTCTTTTCTGAAAACCCTACTGCCCTATGACTTGGAACTGGACCTTGATGCCTGGTAGGGATATCTGAGTCTGGTAATGTTCTTGCTGCTTTTTTTGCATGCTCATATTTAAATTTAGTTATATTAAGTGTCTAAAAAAAATATATATATATTATTATAATATATATATATATATATAAAATATATATATATATTATATATGTATATATATAATATATATATATAGAGTGGAAGCTCTCCTCCCTGCTTTACATGTAGTGTTTGCACATAGTAACCAAACATGTTTCATGTTGGTTGTTTGAGGACTCGATAAGCCTTGGCTTGTAGTTGTACTGAGAAGCTATGGAAGCTCTTAGTATATGAAGGACAAGCAGGAAACTCCCTCTTGTGGCACTCAGACTGTTAGAAGGTAGATGACGTGTGACTTCAGTAAAGTGGGATGGGGAAAAGCAACAGCTAGAATTAGAGGCAAGTGGATGCTGTTTATAGAAAATTCCATTTACTAGCTGAGGTGTGACGAGAGAGCTCTGTGAGGATTAAGAAAGAGAAGGGAATAGGGTTGTATAAATCGCACTTACCTGAGAAGTATAGACCTGAGCAACAGATATAGATATGAATATGCATGTTGGTATAAAAAGCATGCATGCTGTTAAGTTTACTTCAAAATTGTTCATAAGTACATGTTTGATTTGTTATTTTAAACTTGGTGCTAATCAAGTTCTTTAAGATTTTAATATGGTTACATCAAGAAGTTTACAGGATTTTTTTTGTAGATGCTTTAGATGCTGAGTGTAATAAACAAATATAAATACATATGGTTTTATTCATATATTTGAATAAGAAAACATTTTTTTTCAGTCTTTTTCAGGTAGTTAATTTATTTGTAAGGCTTAAAATAAAAATGGACTATAGGATAAGATATAAAACATGAGCTTTTCAATAGCAAATATTAATCTGAAAATATGTGTATTTTTCATTAAGAGTTTGAGATTTTTTGAAACTTTTTATGCTTAAATCCCAGTAACTTCTCCTGACTTAAACTTTGGTTAAAAACCAAAAATTACTCTATTGATCAATTAGTCATTTATCTGTAGCTTCGTTTGTTTCCCTGCACATTATAGATCACCATCAGCAGCAGCAATTTGCAGTTTAAGCTGTAATTCCTCCTTTTCTGTAGAAGACTATAAATATATACTGCATCTCTTGGATGCTTCATTTGTATTTCTAGTTTCCTAATCTGTGAGGTTTTTGTCTGCTTGGTGCCTTGTTTTCAAGAGAGAGATGCCCTTCTGGACTGACCAGGCTATATACTTAAGATATTTTCTGTAACGTTTGCAATGTGTTTCTAATACAATGTTTGTCTTTTTGTAGACTGTACCGAGAGGCAAAACCTTACTTCTCCAAGCCAAGGTAAAAACTTGGTAAAATTTTCAAATTTATCTTTCTGAGCTGAAGTAATTGGAGAGGAGGGGGTGGGTGGGTTGGGGTGGTGTTGGGGCCAAGAGGGTATCAGTGTCCCTTACCTATAATCTGTCTATTACCTATAATCTACAACATTATAATGTAGATATACATTAATGTATATGACACACACTCATGTATGTTACGTGGATGTATATTTCTAGGTCAGTCATAGGTAAGAGCCCACATTAGTGACCTCTCCTGGAGTGCTAGAACCTTGCCAAGTTTTTCAACTAAGATTTGGCTATGAAAAGTTTGAAAATGACAACTCTCCACTCCTTTGTTCCAACTGGTTCCTGCCTTGAGCAGGTTGGGATATTCCAGAGCTGTTGGACTTACAGAAATTCCTAGGTGCTGTTCCAACTACATGGGATCCAAACAGCATGTTGGAAACAGCTTTTTGCTCCCTTCACCAACTTGGAATTTCTGTAATAATTCTGTTACTTCGGGTAAAGAGGGGATATTGCAACATGTAGTCTCCAGTTAATCTCTTTTCTTCTGTTTGTTTTGTAACATGACTTCTTAAGCGTTAGTAGTAAAATTACCTTAATGTCATAAAATGGTGGAGGCTAATAGTTCTATGCCTTTTTTTTTTTCCCTTTTCTCTGCAGGAGGAATTTACTGGCTATGACTTTGAGAACAGATTGCACGTCCGCATACACGCAGCCTTAGCCTCTCTAAGGGAAGTAGTTCCACAGTGACGGACAGTCTTGTTATCCTTTCCCACAGTTTCTGCACTTTAAGATGAAGCAGAAGAAAAAGCTGTTGGGGAAGATCAGCTTTTCTTCTGAAAACCATTTGTGCCAGAGACACTTTCCTAGTATGGTCAGAGTTGGCATGGCTTAGGAAAACATTACAATTTTAATTAAAAGTAAATCAGCCAGGAAGAAGGTTAAGTGACCTTGTGTTTTTAACTCTTCAGTTTTTATTTTGTTTAAACCAAGCTGAACACAATTGCTTGTAACTCTGTGGGTGAGCTTAAACAAGCACACGTGATTTATTTCAACAATATTGGCAGGTGTGATTTTTACCTTTTAAAATAGATCTAGATCTAAAATATGCCAAGAGGGGTGCTTCTGTCTTGATTAGAATAATACAATAAAAGCAATTGGTGTAAATGTTGAAGTTTGGAACAGTTAGAACACTTCTTTTTTTTTTTTCAAGCACTAGCCAATACACAGGAGGAGGAAAACTGTTCAGCCACAAAAAGCAGATCTTACTAAATTTTAGTGACTTATGTCAGTGTCTTCATGATGACTAACTTCACATTCCCTTCCCTTCTTCATTTCTCCCCTCCCAACCCAGCACATACTTGTGATACAAATTATGTCAGTATTTAGAATCTCTGCTTCTGGTACATTCCAGCCAAACACTTACTTTGTTTGACATACAGTTCCAATGTGGGCAGTTCATATTTCTGCTCTTAATATTCTGAATATTAAGTTAAAATACATAGGCCAGATACAGTAATTTCACAATTTTTGATTCATGCTGCTGAATCTTTATAGCAGTGACCTTTAAAGGTATTGAAAAAAACAACCAAACAAGGTAAAACCAAAAATCTAACTTTGGTAGTTATACCAATACTACAATACCCTAAGTATCTATATGGTATTCCAAACCTGTGGTGTTAAGATACTGAAATACCTCAGAGAGCTTAAAACTTTTATCATGACCATATAATTTTTAGTACTTGGCCATCTGTGTGCTCATCTGTAGCTTTTTTAGTTTTGTCTTGTACTATGTAGTATCTCCTCATGTTTTATATTCAGTTAATATCATATTCTAGGAAGGTACATATTTTTTTAAAGTATCTTATGAATGGAAATCTGACCAGAAAGTTAGTTGAATTATGTTACTTTGCAAAGCTAAGAAAACTGGATATCCTTGGAAATCGTTATCCAAAAGCCTTATCTTTACTTTGGTCAGGTTGCCTTAAACAGTTCCTTAGCTTAAACTTTTTTTTCCCCTTACCTTTTTGTAGAGTATGTTGCCAAAGTTTTAGATGTTGCCCACACCTAACCTTCATTGATTTGCTTTTGAGGTTGCATCTAAAGCAAGACTGATATGGAGGAGAAAAGTAATATCCTATTTGGTAGGACAAATGAAACCGTTGAGACACTTCTATTTCTCTCTAGAAATACACAGTTCCTGCAATGAAGGGCATTCCTAGAGCAGTTAAACACTTCTGTTGCAGTCCCTGAAGGAGAGGAGAGGCTTTTAATTCTTAAAGCGGTTTTATTTTTCTATAATATAGGTGTGTTACAGATAGTATGCTGGGTTTTTTTTAATTCAACTTTGACAGTAATATTGAGTCGTAAATCAGTATTCAACCTTATTTGGTCAGTCCAAATAGGTATTGACTAGTAAACAATATATTGTGTATATATAGTGACTACTTAGAATTCAAATAATGATTTTAAAAATGGACTTTAACATATTTGAAATCTTATTTTGTCCTATCTGACTTTTAATGTTTTGCAATCGGAGACACAGTCTAGTCTGGGTAAATGGCTAGAAACAATACGGTTACTGACAAAATTCCTTTTAAATACACTGCTTAAATACAACGTGAGACTAGGCTGTTCAGAACACAAAAGCACCTGCATGCCATTTGTGTTGGGATATCTAGGGTCTACATACTTGGAGGCAGCTAAGCAAATTGTAGGGAACTTGCTGAAGGGCCTGTTGTTCTCACCAGGCCAGGAGTGGGTATGGAGAGACACTATATATTCATATGACAGTTTAGCTCTGTGCAAATTGCAGCTTTTCTGTGGATTTAGTGATTCATCACTGAAATAGAACTACCTGTTTCTGTATTAATTTTTTTTTCTCCCCTTATAGGAGAATCTCCTATATTGTAAATGTCAAAATTATTTTTTATGTTAGATTGTGCCTGTGATGAGAAAAATGTCAACAGTATTTTGTGTAAACTGGTAAGTTTTTATACTTTGGAACTCGGAGGCATGGTCTAATAGCAATAATGGAATATGCATCTTGCTAGTTAATATGTTAAGACTATCTTTACTGGGTCAGGTATTTTTGTTGATGTTGATGCAGTTTTTATCTCAATATGACTCATTTCAAATACATAACTAGAATTTTTAGATGTCACGAGATGGCATATTTATTGTGGTGTACTGTAAATGTTGTTAATTTACAGAACTTGCACTTTTCTATTTCTGAGTAAAATTAAAAGAAATGTGGACAGGAGTTTCCTTCCCTTGCTCCTCAAATTTGTCTTTTAATTGATGGCCTCCTGAACAAGATGATACTAAGTATTGGCAAAACTTCTGGGATGTCTGTAACAAAGTTTTCTAGTCAGCAATTACCTCAGCCGTTGTTCTTCCAGTATAATTACAGTCTCCTGGTTTAGAAAGTGAGTTATACGTGTCATGTTGAGATCAACCGTAGAGTGAACAAGGTTTAAGATGCATTTTTAAGACATTGAGTTTACTTGTTCTTCATTAAAGAAAAAGAACCACACACAATTGTATTTGTTGTATTCCTACACCTTGGAAAATGTTTCTAATTTACTCTAAAGCAAGCACTTTAATTTCTTCTCTCTCTGACTTTGAATGCTTGTTTCATATTCTAGTTATGCTTTATTCCTAAATAAAATTCCCCAGATGTTGTATTGAATTGCTTTTCAGTTTGCAAGAGTCTGATTGTCTTTCCAACAATTGATCAAACTAGTGTTTAAAAATAGCTCTGTAACTGTTTGAAGTTTGCACAGACCAAGTGTTAGGGGTTGTTATAGGGAGGGCTGTAAGTGGTGTTAGGAGGGTGCTGGTTGAACCTGCCAGTGGAGTGGAAGCAGGGTAGCCCGTGATACTCAAACTCCTTTTCCAGTCATCATTATGAAGTACTAATGGTGGTAGCAGTCACTTCCATGAAAAATGATGCAATCCCAAACAAGTATTATTAATGCTGCCGTTAAGAAGTAAATTTATACTTATCTGTCTTCTAAGGCGGTCGGTCAGCCAGTGGCCTCTGAGCAGCACAGCTGTCCTTGGCTCAGCAGGGGCTCTGCGGGCAGCCTAGGACACATAGTAGACTCCACACAGATTTCAGAGTAAGAAGTACAGGTATGTTGACTAGTCCTTTATCCTTGAGGAACTGTTATGGCAAATTATTTTATATAAATTAGGACTTCAGAAAAAAAAAAGGCAGGATGGAATTTTTTTCTGCTAATTACAGTTTGAACAGATGCTTGTACAATTTTCTGATGTTTGAGCTAGAAAAAAATGCTTCAGAAACTACTTTTATCTGGAAAAGCTGATTTACAGAAGATGGGAATATACAGGCATGTTCCTGTTCTGTCTTGTTTTGCCAAAGAACAATTAAAATACACTGTATCTATAGAGAGACTCAGAAAGTATGAGAACCTACTCTTAGTACACCAAGTTATCTGCATATATGTGTATATATATAAATTAGCTGTTGTACAAGATGCACTGGAAAAAAGATTGGTTTCTTTTACAAAATGCTTCACTTTGTCATAATGTTGCAAATATTTATTTTCCCTGAATTTCAACACTTGTTCAATTAAAGTTACAAAAGTGTACCAGTGTTAGTTAATGGCAGAAAGTGATATTCCAACTCCCCACACCACCCCTGTTTCTTCGGAGACGGTAAGAAACTCAAGGCAGGCTTTTCAGGGTTAAAAACTGAATTATTTTGACCACTAATTTTATGTGTATTTGGACCTCAGGTGCATATTAGAGTTGCATTATTGCCTCCCTGCCTCTGCTCAGAATCTTTATTACTCAATGTTTTCATGACTTGTTTAGCCCCAGTGTTACAATCGCCAGGGTCTTTTAGCCAGGAGGAGTTCATGGTTGGTTGTGTTACCCTTAATTTTTTCATTGCTGCTTTTTCCAAAATGCTGTTTATCTTTTGATGTGATTTCTTCCATGATGCTGTTCTGATCAATCATCTGTTAGGACCAGCCAGTCCTGCTGAGCTTCGGTGGTGGTCAGGCATTTTTTGGCAACTTGCGATTACCTATAGGAGATGCCCAGAAGGGCTCCCAGGTGAAGAGGTTAAGAGGCAAAAAAATAAAAAGATCGTTTGAGCTGAATGTTTGGGAGAGTGTGATTGTCAGACTTCACCAAGCAAAACCATTTACATAATTGCCTCCCAGTCTTTCACTAGATGCAATATTTTATACTGTATCGAAAAAAGATAATTGTGCTGCTGGGACATAGGCTTTTCCCCACTTGTAGCAAAGGGCCCGATGAAGGGGATGACAAAGAGTTAGACGTATGCATAAAAGATACCTTAAAACTGATATTTTGTACCTTTGGTAGGAAAAGCACAAATGTTTGCATGGAGATATTTGTACATGAATTCAACCGCCTCCCCCTTAGAATTCTACTGAAGTCTCTGGTGGGTAGAAACACAAAGATGGTGCTTGCAAAAAATGCAAGTCCTCTTCAGCCTATTTAGCTGAAGCTTTGAAAGAGATTGCCAGTTAAAAACCACAAAAACAACACTCCATGTGCCCCCAACTGGTGTGACTTGTTAACCCCTTGTGAGCTATCTTGTGAAGAGTTAATGAATGATGATCCTTTTTAGCAGAAAAAATAAGGTGTATCTGGGATCTTGATTTGCTGAACTTCTGTCCATCTCTGTCTGGTACACTTTGTATGGTGGATTTACTCTAGATGGCTCCCAGTAACGGTGTTCAAGTTCCAGCACAGTGAATTAGTTTCCAGATATGTTTTCCCTATAGTTGCTTTTAAGTTTCAGACAGACATGCTTTTACATTAGGGGCTGAAGCCTTTTTAAGTATTTGAGGAGGTTTATGCTCCTGTTACCTCTTGATAGTAAGTTTTTCTGTGGTTTATGACATCTATACTTAAAACTGTTTGAAGCTTTGCTGTGCAGAGCTTTACAAACCCAGAATTTTGACATTTTTCAAAAGAAGCAAATTTAGAAGTTATCTTCTGATCTGTATTCACTGAGGATAGTTTCAAAGTAAACACAATTGAGTTTGCATCCAGCTGTGTTTAATACTTTTATGAAGTTCCGTTTCTTCCGTATGTTCTCCATACAGATTACTATCCTGACTCCAGAAATGATAAGTTTTCTAGTCCTCATATATATTCTTGAAGTATATCTTATTCTTTCTGCAGGAAAGCTGTTCTTCCTAATTTCATAAGTCATAGCATATTCATAGACAATTTTTTAAATATTACGGTCTGTGTTGTCACTCGCCAGGACAGATGAGCTATTGTGAAAAGCTTTAATGAGAAATTACTTTCTAAGGATTCTTTTATGGAAGAAGCATTTTGTGGTAAGTTTACCGTTAACATACACTTTCCGGTGGCCTAACTTGAAATTGATGTTCTATTCTGTTAATTTAGAATGACCCATTATGAATATATTACTCAAAGGAAGCTATCGTAGGTAGCCTAAATGCTTTAGCTGCAGTGACACTTGAGTCTTAAATCTTCAGTGCTGCTGGAATTCCCCTCAGGTTTTTGTAGAGGTGCAAACACCCAGGAATGCAAGAGCAGGTAGGTAAATGGTTGGATGAAGACTGATCTGAAGTATTGTTGGTAGATAAAGGTTCTTATCCCACAGCAGGCTCCTGATCATGGCTTGACTCGATCCTCAGAAACACTTAGCGGTACCCTTGAAAATATGGCGCTCTACAGTTACCTTTGTTGGGCTTGTTTTACTGGAACAGAAAATGATCTTGTGTGTCTCCACTGAAAATATGTACTGGAAAGCAGATGCTATCCCTGGGGCTGTCGAGGTTTGTTTCAGGTTTTGCCCTCAGAGTCACAGGTTTCTGCAGTATAAACGGAGGTGTATTAAGGAATAATCTTGTTCCTCTTTGGGAGTGGATGCTGCGGCTGAGGCAGTTACGCTCCCCAGACATTTGCTCTGAGATCCTGCCAGATGTTCACAGAGAGCATCTCTTCTCGGGTGCTATATTTTGCAGTCTTTTACACTGGTTTTAAATCCCTTGGATGTGGTATGTCACCTGTCTTAAAAAGGCCAGGCTGTGAACCGGGGGATGGGTCTGTTCACCCACCCCCTCTACCAGGGCTGGCGGAGGGGTGAGAGGGATGTTGCAGTGTTGGATTGTGTGAAATCGTAACCTGAGGCTGAGACCAAAGTTACATTCTTTCTGTGCCGGGAAGAAATGTTTCGGCTTTGACTGCCTGCTGCTTCTGGTGAGGCAAGTGTATTTCAGCAAAGGCAAAACACTTCCTCAGAGGGGTTCTGCCTGCACCTTGGGTTCAGCAGGTTACGCTCTTGAAGGCAAGTGAGTAGCAGAAAGCAGGAGTGGGTTTTGTGGTAGCGTGGGAGGAGAGAAAAGGCAGCGCATCACCAGGTGTGAGTGTTGCGGGCACTCGTTTCCCCCATGCCCTGTGGCAGGCAGCACCCATGGGTGCTCAGCCTCACCCTCACAGCCGTTACACTGCTTGTCCTGAGCAATGGCAGCCACAACACCATACTTTGGTCTTAAAATATATTATTAAAAGTGTCTACAAATAGTCACGTCCATTAAATGCACTGGTTCTTGTGCGACAGTGGGAATCAAGGTGTTTATTGCAGGAGGAAAGCCTTCACTGATACGCAGCAGCATCAGCTGGCTGCAGAGCACTCTGGCTGCTCAAGGGGAGATTTTAATCGTGTTATTTCACCTTTTACTCCTAATCTTTTTTGACCAACAAACTAATTTCACAGCGCTGGAGCTCGGACGCAGGTGGCTGTGAACCTCAGCACCACTGTGGATGATGTAAGGGCACTGTGACATCACGGCCTTCTGGCTGGGTGTGGTGGCCCCAGCAGGAGACCAGGAGCCAGGAGAGAGCAAGTACTGAAGGGGGTAGAGGAGGATTACCTGTAATTACCTGTTAACTCTTTGCTTGAACATGAATGGCTGTTGTGGCTCATTGCGGGGTACTTTAGTAGGCTTTATCTTTAAGAAAGGGAATTCAGGGCATGGGTTTGAATTCACACATTGTGGTTGCCTAGTTGGGTGGCCCCCTGATGTGCCTCCTGCTGCCTAAAGCTGCAGAGGGGAGTAAAGGATTTGGTCATTGCAAGTTGTATATACCCCCCTTTCAGTTAAAGGAGTGTGCAGGAAGGGGAATAGGAGGGTTGCTGATGGCATGGCAAGGGGTGAGCCATTGGTGTTGGACATATCACACTGGGCTGCGGTAGACGCTCAGCCAAGGGGTTCTGTTTGTACAGGTGGAAAACCGTAAGCCAGCTTGAGTGGGTGAAGATGCAGTCTTCAAAGATCAGTCTGACTGTTCCATGTGGCCTTCAGACCCTTCTTGAGGGGGTGAGCCGGGCTGCCATAGAAGAAAACCCAGACAACATTGCTGAGTTTTTTGCTCTCTATTTCCAAGATCTCGTCACCTTTCAAAAAGGTTTGTTTCTACCAGTGCTTCATCTGAAGAGGTGAGCTACTTGGGAGTGCTCTCCTACTCCAGCTTAATTTCTGCTTCTATTTTCAGGGCATCCAAATCTAGATTTGACAGAACTGGTTGAAAAGTTTGAGCTTGTGAGAGGTAAGATAGTTGCTGTTTGTTCTTTTAAGATCTTTTGAGACAATATTCCAACCCAAATGAGTGCAAATAGTTTTCACTTATGGGATGCATCCCATCCATATCTTGTCATGTGAAAGAGGCACATAGGCACTGGGCTGTTGAAAAGGCAGGCATCTCCAGAAAGCACTTGCTTTTATTTAATGTGGGAAGAATTAGTCCTCTGGAATGTTGTACTTTAGTATAGAGGAGAGCCTGGATGCCTTTGGTCATTTTAATTTTAGGATATTGCAGTGCAATTTATCACCCCTAAGCAGATAGTGACTTTACACTTACCTTTTATTTGCAAATAGATATTGTATCTCCTTATTTATAAAAAGATGTTTTGGTTTTCTGGGATGATTCCTTTGGGAAGTGCTGGGAGCTTTCAACTGCTCCCTGGGTTTGGCTGTAAGGGCTGGAATACATAGTGCCTTCTGAAGGTTATGTGGGAGCACTGATACGGGTGCACTGTCTAGTCCACAGCCTGTTTGTATCTGCCCCACTGGTTTAGGTCTTCATCGTCTGACTACTGTATCAGCAGCATTAGATATCCCCTTTGTTCAAAAAGGTGACCTAAGCTGGGTTCTAAGTAACCCTGGAACTAGACAGCACTTTGAGACAGCCTTTTTCTATAGATTGAGAGCTATACACTAAGGTAATTACAGCAAGGATAGAAGCCCCAACTATGAACAGAAAGTGCTACTATCTTATTCCTAGCTTAGCATCTTCCTCTAAAAAAACTAACCTTCAGCATTTGAAGCAGTTTTCTTCTGGTAAAAATGACTGGTGGATGTTGCATTGTAACTTAAAGTATCACCAAAGGTTCAATTTTGGTGCATTTGCAAATGTTGTGTTAATGATACCACACAGCAATTTTTGTATAATCATAGAATCATAGAATGGTTTGGGTTGGAAGGGAACTTTAAAGATCCTCTAGTCCAAGACCCCTGCCCTGGGCAGGAACATCTTTCACTAGACCAGGTTGCTCAAAGCCCCGTCCAACCTGGCCTTGAACACTGCCAGGGAGGGGGCAGCCACAGCTTCTCTGGGTGACCTGTGCCAGTGTTTCACTACCCTCATTGTAATTTTAAAAAAAAAAAATAAAATCCTGATATCTAGTCTAAATCTACCCTCTTTCAGTTTAAAACTATTGCTCTTTGTCCTGTCAGACCTTTGTAAAAAGTCTTTATCTTTCTTAAAGCTCCCTTTAAGTATTGAAAGGACATGTTTCCCTGGAGCCTTCTCTTCATGCTGAACAGCCCCAACTCTCTCAGCCTTTCCTCATAGGAGAGGTGCTCCAGCCCTCTGATCAATTCTGTGGCCTCCCCTGGACCCACTCGAGTAGGTCCATGTCTTTCCTGTACTGTGGACCCCAGAACTGGACACAGTACTCCAGGTGGGGTCTCACAAGAGCAGAGTAGAGGGGGAGAATCACCTCACTTCATGAGGTTCACATGGGCCCCCTTCCCAAGCCTGTCCAGATTCCTCTGGATGGCATCCCTTCCCTCTAGTGAATCAGCTGTACCACCCAGCTTGGTGTCGTCCATAAACTTGCTGAGGGTGCACTCAATCCAGCTCTGTCACTGATGAAGATATTAAACAGTATTGGTCCCAGCATGGACCCTTGATGGACACCACTCATTGCTGGTTTCCACTTGGACATTGGGACGTTGACTGTAACTCTTTGGGTGCAGCCATCCAGCCAATTCCTTATCCATCTAACGGTCCATCCATCAAATCCATCTCTCCAGTTTAGCAGCCAGAATGTTGTGTGGGACTGTATCAAAGGCGTTATAGAAGTCCAAGTAGATGACATCAGTAACTCCTCCCTTGTCTGCTGATGCAGTCACTCCATCATAGAAGGCCATTAGATTAGTCAGGCACGATTTGCCCTTGGTGAAGCTGTGCTGACTGTCTTTAATCACCTCTCGTCTTCCATATGTTTTGATATATTTTCTAGGAGGATCTCTACCATGATCTTATGAGGCCCAGAGGTGAGGCTGAGGGGTCAGTTGTTCCCAGAGTTCTCATTAAATTTTTTAAAAAGGGTGTGATATTCCCTTCTTTCCAGTCACGGGGGACTTTGCTTGACTGCCATGACTTTTCAAGTATGATGGAGAGCGGCTGAATATCACAGAAATTTTCTCTCAAAATGCCTGTCAGAGGTTTGCTTATGTGATTGTGAATTGACTCCTGCATGTTCACCGAGCTCCAGTACAGGTCCCCCTCTCTTTCTGTATGGTCCCTCTGCTACTATGTGGTCACATAACTGTGTTATGAAAAGGGATATCAGAGAGGAATTCCTTAGCAAGGTTTCCTCTGAAGGGTCCGGCCCACAGTGCCAGCACAGGTTTTGGGACTGGTGGTGCAGCAGCAGGTATCTCACTGGTTTGTATAGCTGCAAGAGAGCCTTTCTTTTCTGTGGCATTGTGCGATACTGACACTGGATTATAAATGGGTTTATGTTGGCTTGGGATGGCAGTCAGAATAATGTTTTTTCAGAGACAATTTAGCTCTGTCATCCTTTGAGTTATGTTTCTCTTATAATTTCTTATCCAGAAAACAGCTCAGTGCTGAGCAGTGGTGATATATCAGACTCCTCTTCTGCTACTGTGCTGGGTTTACATATTGGCCAACGCTTGCTAATCATGATAGAAACCAGACCTCTTGGTTTGTTGTTTTCCAGTGTAGAGGGGTTTTGTTAACCATGTGATGGAAGGCTGTTTTGATCCCACGGGTACTTTCTTGTGTTCCACCCTTGATAACTAATCTAGGAGCCATTTTTCACTCTGTATCTAAAACTTGTTCACGTCTTACCCTATTCTTCACTTGGATACCTGTCAGTTCAACTAATCCAGATTCTTGAGGAAGCTAAAATGTCACTATCAATACATCTAAAATAACTTGTATGGATCCAAAGAGTTTTGGCATGTTGCAAAAGGGAGCCATGGTCTTCTAACTGGCTTATCTGATGTGCTTAATGTAAAAGGTTTACTCTCTTAACCCGTAAGTGTAGTGATGTTTGTGGGCAGTAGATAAGAATGTTGTCATCACCGCAGGATCAGGAATACAGTCAAGGCTTCCTGGGTTTTGAAGTGGTACCATTGCTCTCTGAATTTTCTTTCCCCTTATTGATAGGCAAGCAGCAAACCCTCTCCTTACATTATGCCTACTCTGCAACCCGGGAAGTCTCATAAATGTGCTTTAGATCATCTAATTGAGTTGGTGCTGAAATCATTCAATTTTATTTAAATGGAAACAGTTACTTGTGTATTGCCATTATGTGCTCTTTACCTTGCAGAAAATAAGAGACTGGAAGAGAAGACATCAGAGTACACAGTTACTTTGTTTTCTGGGGAGCCCAAGCGAATGGACAAGTGTACCGACACAGAGGAAGACCAGCTCCTTGAACCTGATATTCAATATAGCTCCAGAGTAACTCAACACCCATCAACTGCCAGTTCCATTGCAGGAAGCAGTTCCCCCTCTGGATTTGATGGAGCTTCATCCCCTGAGGGACCTGAACTGGTGTATGTCCCTGCTGAGTTTGCTGCCCACGTGCTAGGTAACAGTGATTCTTTATATTCTGTGAGGAACGTGGCAACCAGCATGCAGACTCTTCACGAAGACTCTCAGGCCTCGGAGGATGAATTTACACCAGTAGAAGGTGCTGCTGAAGATGCTTCTGCTGTCCCAGCAGCTGAGGCTTCTATAGAGGCTGTCAGGTCACAATCAGGAGTGTGGAGTCAGTCTTCCATAGCTGGAGAACTGGGGCCCTCAGACAGCCAAGCTGATGTCTCAATAAATGATGTTAACCAAGCTTCCTCCGTCCCCTTGTGGGAAGAACTATCACCATCAGCCCTTTCACCACCACCACCACTTTCTCCTAAAGATCCACTGAAGGCTGTGCCTTCCTGCAAGGAAGGTGAGGTTACCTCAACCACTGAGGTTGTGTCACTGTGGTGGGATGATGAGCTGATTACGGATGCAGAGGTTCCACCTTATGTAGAACAGTTTCCACAGAAAATAATAATTCCCTTCACAGACCAAACAGCTTATCTGTTAAAGATTGAGCAGCCTTTAAATACAGTCCAGAGCTCAAGTGATACAACATTATGTCCATCTGCTGATGATTTTGTGTGCCATCTTGAGATAATCGAATCTACAGCACAAGTGGAATCAGCTGAGCAAGTTTATGTCTTGTCAGGTAAGAAAGTTTGGGTCTTTGTGTCATGTTCTTGTGTTAGCTTCAGACTCTACAGCTTCATCAGGGGTCACTAAATGGAAAAACACTTATGTCAGTGCTGCAGGGTAGAGACAACTTCTAAAAAACTTACGGTACTGACACTGTCTGCTTGGCCTCAGTGCATGTGTTTGATCTCTCTGCTACCTGTTCCAAGAGATGGGGCTAGCTCTGGGCAGGACTCCTGTGCTCCTGTGGGCAAACACACAGATAAGAGTGATGGGAAGGTGCCCATTGATGCCAAATGATCTTGCTCAAAAACACCCTGTATTTTCTGAATCAGGTGTTGGAGGCCAAGGATGTGCTACATGTGCCCTGTCGCTGAAGAGATGTGACTAGTTGGAGCCTTACTTTTGATTCTCCTCTCCTGAAAGATCTCATATTCCAGCACTGACCTAGGAGGTTTTCCATTTAGGCAAAAAATGGTGGTGGTTGCCTCTGCTGTCTTGAGCTTAGTGAGTTTCTGCAGCTGGGCTGAGCTGGTCATCAGTTTCACAAACAGGGAGAGAGCTCATCTTTCTTGGTGAGGCCCTCACCAGCATCTCTTCCCTGTGATGACATGCACCCAGCTCCTCCCTTGCACAGCAGGAGAAACCCTCCAGGGTGGAGGTCCCCTGCCCAGAGTCTCCCTTGCAGAATCTGTGCAAGCCCCATCCCAGGCCCCAGGAAGAGTAGAACAGCTGTGAGGCCCAGACAGAGCATGTTGTAGAGGAGAGCTGAGCTTAGGCAGTTGTTTTAAAAAAATCCCAAACTTCTAGGGGAGTCTGGCAAACTTCAGTTTCAGAAATAGCAGATAAATGCTTACCCAGAAGAGCCTCTGCTTTGACCATGAACAGTTCTACTTTTTCTAGGCTGCAGGTGACCAAACAGTGTTTGCTATCCCAGCTGTCCTCTCTAACATGCTTTTGCAATGTGTAGGTGTTTGAAGTAGACATAAGGCTTTACAATATGACTGGAATGCACCACTCCTGATACCAGCATTCTTATTTTTATTTTTGTAGCCATGGCATCAAGTGAAGCAGGACAGCTACAACCACATTCTAATGTGTGGACCCTCTATTGCCTAACTGACCTGAGACAAGGTCAAGAATCGCCTCCATCCTTTCCTCCTGCTGGAGTTGGTGGTCCTTATTACCAGGCAACCCTCAGTCTTTCCACGGGGGAAGATCAACAGTGGGGTCAGTTGTCACATGTATCTGCTCCAATTTATGTGATGCAAGAAGGAAGCAAGAGGGAAAATGCTCCACCTTTCATTTTAGTGGGTTCTAACATTCAGAACACACAGGACTGGAAACCTCTTCCTAGCCAAGCTGCCTTTGCACAGCGAGATGCAGGTGCTAGGCAGAGATTCATTACAGTCCCAGTTGCCAGGCCAGCTGCTGAGGAAATGGATATGGCAAGCTGTAATTCTCAGTCTGCAGAGGAAACTGGGGCTAAGCCATGCACAGCCCATGTTCTCTCAGTTGCCATCCCTCCGGATGATATGATGTCTGCAAAGAAAGGCTCAGCAGCTGGTGATAAGCACACAGGTATAAATGCTCTTGCAGGACACATCACTGTTACACCAGGCCCTGTTCCCAGAGCAGGGTCCTGAAGAAGGAAGTTTTCTTCTTGCATGGGTCTTGCATAGAGAGAGGCTACTGAAAGCTTTCAAAATACAACAGGGTTTAAAACCAGTGGTTAAACTACTTGTTATAACCACCTTCTGCTTGTTACACTGCAATTAGTACTAGTCTTGCTCTGGGTAACCAACTTTTTAATCTCACCTTTATACCCATCTTTATGCCTGCAGCCTGAACTTTTAGCATTCGTGTAATGCTCAAAATGTGGCCAAGTACCCTCACCTTATAGTGCATTCAGGTAGCAATTAAATTAGTTCTTGCTGCACACTTTCTACTGAGTTAATGTTATTTTTTCAAACAGGTTGAGAAGAGAGGCTGTGCAGACTTCAGAAACGAGTTCAGGAGAAATGGACTTTACAATGTAATAAATCAAATAACACATGCTTCAAAAAGCCAACAATTTGAACTGCATTGTCATTCATTTTGTAATTTCCTAACACAGCACATAATCCTGAATGTTAACTTTGTGTGAATTATGACCACAAAGGCATCTGCTGCAGCTATTTCACTGAAGACGAAACAGCTTCCTCAGTGTACAAACATGGTGTATGTGTAAGCCCCAGGGACACAGACAGGTGACATACAGAGCCAAAGTTAGGTCAGTGTAACCAGGTGTAGTCTCTACTGCTGGGGTTTATATTCCAGGAAGGAACTGTGTACAAAAGGCAGGAGCAAGCAGACAGTCATGCTTTCAACTAGAGGAAGGAATTATTCTCACACATGGTCAAATTCATTCAAACTACAGCTTTATTGAGGAGGACTGCTGAGGTTATGCTTTGAGGAAGGGGTTAAGAAAAATTACCTTTATTTTGCTTTAGAGGTTTCACAACTACAGGTATGGTCACTTAAATATGCCAGACTCTTGAAGTATGAATAGGTCTAGAAAAATAAATACATCTGTTCTTAGGAAACAGAAGTTGCTCAGAACAAAAGAAAAGTTGATGTTGTGTAGAGGTATCCCCCTCTTGGAGCTGGGTAAGCAGGCAGGAACTAAATGCTTTGATTTTCCTATCACTGAGTGTTCAATGCTGTGGGACCTGCTGCAGCACTGACCTAACAGCTAGACTGTTTCTATGCATCTCTGAATCTCACTTGGAGTTGCACGGGAGTTATGACAGACTTCAAGAAATGCTGGCCAGAGTAGAGGCTTTCCAGAGACAGTGCAGGTATTCCTGCATCTACCAGCCAGTGTGAGAACTGGGCCTTCCTATGAAAGGCTGCCAGAGAAAAGGCTCTTCCTCATCTATGCAATTGTGTCTCAGGTCACTACCTGGGTAATTGTAGTAGTGCACAGAATAAAAATAGCCATCTCACTGCCTTATTCACAGTTTCAGTAGTTGCTCTCAGGTTAGAGCTGCAGCCTCACTGCCTATTCCAGGCACAAGCTCTCAGTTCCCCCATAAGCAGACTGTTCTACTTCAGGGCAAAGCAGGTCCTGAAGCACAGGGACACACATCATGCAAGGTCATTGCAGCAGCTTTGGGAGTTGGGTCAGTGCTGTCAAACACCACTCACTTTAGACTAGATGCAAGAAGTTCTGAAGCCTTTATTTAGTAGCAATTAAATTATTCAATTAACACTAACCTCCAGATAGCAGTTAAAATATTGTACAAGGAGCAGCTTGCCCCCTAGAAGCTCTGTACACAGTTCAATATAAACTTACACTCTTAAGATCGAATGCACCCCACTGAAAAGGGGTAAAGCAGCTGTGCACAGGAGGCCTCACTGAGGTGCTGTACTACCTTTGAAATGCACAAGACTTTCTCCTCCCAGGCAGTTGCACAGTACAGACACAGGTCCTGTTCCCCCTGCCATGTTCCACCAGGTCCTGGACTGATTAGGTTCTTGCTTTTTTGCAGTGGCGCTGGACACCAGAACTTCTAGTGCATGAAACAGATTCTTTTAAAACAACCTGTTACTAGTGTGCAGTTCAAATCAAATCTGTAGATATTTAAATGGCTCTTAATTCCTTAAACCGTAAGGTTGGTAGCAAAACAGGAGAGCAAAATTCAAAACACACTGCACAAAACATTGAATAAATACCTCTGAGTAATGTTACCATCTTGAACAACTGCATTTAATGCTCCAGAGACAGGAACGCTTCTGGAATCTCTGACCAGAGCTCAGGATTCAAGGGAGTTACTTCAGTAAAAGAAAAGTCACTTTATGAAAAATTACATCTTTACAAAAGTGACACGCTCTTCTTCATTTAAGAACAGAATATTGCAATTACTGTGTGTGCTTTTAAACATTCCCATGTCGCAATAAATAAAACCGGTTTTACTTGTGCCAATGTTATCTACGAAAGAAAGTATTCACAGAACAGCCGAAGGTGTTCTATTCCTCATACACCACAACCTAATATAGGTGTATTCATCAAACAGGGCAGCTCGAAACCACAGCGTCTTACTCTGTCCACACAGGACCCACCATCAGCCAGAAAAATTATTCTCCTACCTCTGGGACTGCAGATCATGTACCACCAGATTTACTGTGGAGATGCTTAATATTCTGTTTGATAACAGATCAGTTTTTTTCAGGAGATAAGTAAAACAAGGAAAAACATTAAAACAGATTAAGACTTATTTATATCAGTCATAGGCTCCTTATTGCATTTTAATAAATATCAGGCAAGTTAAAGTAGTTTCTGTCCCAGTAGTTGCCAGAATAAAGCCAGTCCTGCGTACCAGTGTAGGGATTGGGGCCTTGGTGGAACCATCTGCAAGGAAACATACAGCATGTTAGTGAAGCTATCAACACACACTTTTATGGAAGTTCAGAACTGCTTTGCTGTATCTTCAGCAGTTTACTGTTCGAATTAATTATTGTGATTGCAGGAGCCCTCTTGGTTTTAAAGTCGTAAGTGAATTTAAAGCCATCTTCTGTGGCTAGATCTCCCCATTTGCCACACTGCTTAAATGTCTCCTACATGAAGTTACTGACACTAGTATTTTGTCACATGAAGCAGTTGAGACTATCACATAAAAAAAGGATAGATAGTTTTACTTCAAAGCAGTTGTGAACAATCACTCTGGCATGCATAAGCAGTAAGTTTTTGCAAGACATGTAAACACCACAAGCACTGCAGTCCTGAAAACAGAAAAATATTATTTCCCAGGATCTTTTTTTTTTTTAACACCTCATTTTGCAATGCACTTAACTCAGGAACAAGTGTGCCAGCCACCTTCAGTGCAGACAAACTATCACCCACAGGCTGCAAGGAAAGTCCTGGCTTGTTACACCATAACTGTGTTGCATTACACTGTTGGCACTGGGGGGCTTACCTGAATGGCCAGAAGGCTGACTCCCTCTGCATGAAGATAGTTGCAAGGTTTTGCTAAATTTGTTGTTGGTAGGATCACTGAAGTTTAGCCTCATCTTTCTTTCCTTCCCTTTCCCCTCCTACCTAATCTGGAGACACTGTGTATATACACACAGAGAGATTATATCTGCATGTGTATATAACCCGGGGGGGGGGGCAGTTTCTATCTATAAAATAAGGTGCAGTTACAAGGCCATACTACTGGCAAGAATCCCCCAGTGGTGAGAACAACCCTGTCAAATCACCACAGCACAGAAGTTTCTCCTCCTTCCTACCCTCCCATACCTGTTTCTGGCAATCCTGATGCCTCTTACTGAACACCACTTTCTGTTTGGGCCCACTTACTCCACCTTCTGCCTCAGCAGCATGCACCCCACTGTACCAGACCTCTAGCACTTTAATGTCTTGTATTTTGCCAAGCCGTGTTAGTGGCACAAGTCAGCTTGCTAGAAGCCATTTCTGTGGTTAATAAGCTCTGCAGCTTGCTTTCACTGCCTCACTGACCACAAAAGCCAGTTCTTCCTTTATATGCCTCACTACAGCCAACACACGCACTCAAGTAAATCATGTGTGCAAGGCAGCCCATTTTAACTTGGCTCTTTCCTTCTAGGGTACCATAAAGTTTCAGAACAGAAATTAAGGCACATTTAGATGTGACTTGATGTCTTTAAAAGGCAAAAGGATAAAGGCCACCCAGCACTGCAGTGTTGTGTTCCAAAGCAGGGCAGCTAATAGGCAAGTCTTGGTTGGCTCAGAAGACTTGAGATACATATTGGAAGAAATGCCTTGCACTGTCTTCATGGTGATAAACTGAACAGTTGAACACTTCAATGGCCGTCCTGCTGCCCTGGTTAAGTGAACTGAAGTCAACAGCAGTTATCCAACCCCTGCACCACACATAGTTCACTACTGCATCATCTGAACAGGGCGAGTCAGCTGTTCCCAAGTAACTGGTGCGTGCTGTGCACAGGCATCTAGTTCACCTCCTAGTTCAGAGGTAACAGCAGCTCACTCAGAGCACAAAGAGTTTGCTGAGAGTCAGGGCTATAAGCACAGTCACCTTGTCTCTCATATTAAGGAATTCTACCACCCAACACCTCACTACTGTGTCTTCAACACTTGTACAATGTACCCCTCCCTCCAGTGATCAACTACTTCAATAGGAAAGGGAAAGGAGATGGGAAGAACTAAGTTTGAGACACACAGGAGACCCAAAGCAGTCAGATAATCCGGTCACGTAAGTGATGGGGGGAGGAGGGGACTGATTTCCATCAGAAGCAACAGACCACTTCTATGTTTCAGAAATGAACTGGTCTTTTACATGAGACTTAAGACTACTGGTCAGTCTCTAAAACATTAGGTGTTCAACATGAGTCACTTCTTCAGAAACACCAAGACCCACTTCTAAAGTGGATTCAAAATTTAAAGAGAAAAAAATCACTAGGCACTTTGGAGAATTGTCTTACGAGGGAGGAACTCTACTAGACAAAGTAAGAATTCTGTTTTTCGGTGGCAAGGAAATTGCAGCAGTTTACATCAAAGTTTATATTACACTGCAGATTAAGACCTACAGTTGAATTTGGAACAGGTAGAAGAGTTCCCCTTCAAAGCATGTTTTTGTTTTCCCTGAAGCACAACACTTTATGTTCATCCTTTGGAGGCAGTCACACTTGGCATTCCTAAAGAGATCAGACACTAGGAATTTTCTGCCAAAACTTTAGAAACATCTTGGAAAATGAAGAGTTTTTGAGGGATATCCCAGGAAAGTGCTGAGCAGGTCTACAGTACATGCATAACAGCCAACTGAAGAACCTGGTGAACGGTGTCTGCACTAATTATACAACCAAAAACCACTGCTCTGAGTTGCTCCCTGGGACTTCCCCTATTTCCAATGCCAAGCTCAGGTGCTTTGAGCTATACCTTAAGCTACTTCTGGCAACTGGAAGAACACAGTGTAACTACTCTTTGCTTTGAAAACACTTGGTGAGAGGTAGAACCACGCTGAATTCAGGAAAGGGAGAAGGAGATGCAAGGCTGTCCAGCACTTAACATGTTTACTTGGAAGCATTACAAAGATGTTATTTTCCAGTCTCAGGGCAAACCAACCCAAACACTTCAGGAGAGCAGGCACAGGAAAAAGACAAAGGCAGACATGTCCAAACCTGGGACTCTGGAATGATGCATGACTTCATTTGAAAAAAAGAAAAAAGTGATTTACAGTTACAAAACAGACATTTTAAAGATATTTAATTTGCAGTGTCTGGGTATATTAATAGCTAGTTAATAGGGAAGAGATGAAGCTTGCTTACTTTTAGAAAGTTTAGCCCTACCTTTTTCTTTTTTTTTTTTTTCTCCTGTGAAGAGACCACCGATTTATTACTACACTTAAGACCTTATCTGGTCAAACTAGATTCATCTGGTCATGTTTTCGCAGTTTCTACTTAGCTTGTGCATAAGAGCTCCCAACTGACCCCTCTCATATTATAGTAGAAAAAAACCCAACCACCCCATCCTGTAAGCTCCCTTAGCTCTTCTAACTTCTGTAGTTAGTAACCCTCTCAGAAAGGACACAATAGCTTGGGATATCTGGCTGATAATTTCACCAACTTTGAGAATAACTGTATGCAGTGGGAATACAGTATTACCAGCACACAGCAACTGATCTGAGAAGTCATGGGCAATAAGCTATCAAGTTTACCAGAGGAAGCATCTCCTCCTGTCTTTGGCCAAGCATGCAAATTTGAGGCAATTATAAATTAATCAGCAACAACAGTCCTTACAAGCAGCTATCAGTGGCAACATCTTTTTTGTGTCAGAACCAAGAGGTGCTCAGAAAAGACAAGACAGTTTGTATTTGGATATGGGTGTGCAAGCAATGAGATGGAAGGAACTGAAACCAAGCCTGACACTTCTCTCTGGAAGCCTGCAGGGACCGAACCTGCAAACACAACAGTGGCACCACCAAACCTCATGATACCGGCTCTTCATGTTGACACTACATGGCACATCACTGGCGTGGACTGGCAGTTAACCTGGATGTTTAAAACCTTTATATAACTACACACACACACACACACACACACCGGCAAGTACACTAACCTCGTCTTCCAGTCTTCTTCTGACTTGGAACGATTTTTGCGGGCAGTCCTTTGTTTTTCTTCTAGCCTCTTCTTTTCTTCACTAGCTAGATCTTGAAGGAATAAAAACATACAAATAAAAATACAGAAGACAAAGTGTAATATAAGACACAGACATTACTCCACCTGACCTAGCAAATAAATATGGGAAGTACAAGTCGTCCATTTAAAAAGCCTTCTGCGTAACACAGAAGAGCTTCTGGTTTAGTCTAAGAGCAAAGCCAGGCCAGCTGTGGCACAAGATCAGCCAATGGAATTCCAGTCTTTAAGACTGCTAAATATATGTTTATCCATGGCTTGAGGACCCTGAAAACGTGTTTATGTGACAGCAAAGATGACCTATGGGATGTGGCATACCTAGAATTTATGTCAGTAGGGAAACTGATTGAGATATATTAGATTTATTTCAGAAGTCTGGCCACCTGCTGCTTCTTAATGTTTGGGTAAATTGTCACTAGTGCCTAGCTACTAATCAGCAAGGGTTTGGAATATTAATTTCCAAACCACAAACTATTGTCTCTGCAGTATCCATTTTTTTTGTTAATGCACTAAGATAGCACTAAGGTCACCGTCCTAAACAAGCAGAACAATTGTTCTATTTGGCAGAAAGGATGGTCAAAGAAGCAGATTAGGTAGAAGGGTGATCTCTTTCACACCTAAATCCTCAAAAAGCATTTCAGAAACATCTTTGGAAGAAGTAGTTGAGAGAATAATTTCTGTAAGACTATCAACCACTCTCAGTTACCTTGTCAGCTACTAACACACTGCTTATTACCAGTCTATCTACTAGACAAACTTTATGCTGTTAGTATAGTTAAGCAATAGGGTCTGTTGCTAACAGCATAGTTATCTGCACTTCCAAGTTTAGACAGACAAATTACTGGGGATGCTCTGAACCAAGTATGTCTATCCTGCTGGCCACAAAAGAATCGTACAGGCAGGAGAGACCGCTTGTGGGAATTCACTGATATGCTTCTCTAAAAGCCTCAAAGAAGTGCTTATCAGTTTCAGAGAAAAAAAACAAAACCCATGCACAAGTACAGCTGCACTGTATTATGCCTGTGTTACTGTTTTTCATACCTAGATCTCAAACTATTTATCAGA